GAAGCGCGATTCATTTTGAATCTAATGACTTCAACCCGGTCCTGGTGTGCAGCCACTTGGTAAGCTCTCTTAATTTTAAATGTTTTCTTGTCTGCTTTATGATGTACGCTTCATGTTGTCTGCTGTCACTATGCTGTGTTGTTGTACTGTGTTTGTGTCCGTTGCACGATAAAGAGCTATGCTCTGGTGACGTTAGATCTAAACAAGCTTAGTTAACTAAGTTGACGAGGTACCCGTGAGACAAAGCTAACATTTTAGACTTACTTAGAACATCGTTATACAAGACGTGTCCGTTTGTGTTTACTTTATCTGACTTTAAAAATGTTTGAAGTATAAATCGCGGACTGGTATTTAATGTGAGCAATGTTATTCTTCCTGGTTTGCCGCGGGGCATTCTGGGAAATGTAGTTCCAGCTGTAGTTTACTGCTTGCATGGGTTCAGTAGGACTTGAGTATGGTGCATAATGTATGAAGTGTTAGGCATGTACATGAAAATTATGTGTTGATTATTATGGCATATTAATATAGTGATTATTAATTATTATTATTATAAATGTTTTGTATATTGATTAATGTTATGTATTGTTGCATATTGTTATTGGGCTAATTAATTATGTTTGAACTAGTACACACATTGTATTTTCTTATCTTCTCAGGTTTATTACCTGGTTATTTATTTGTGGAAAATAAACAAATAAAGTGAAATACCGAGTAATATCCATCCTTTGTGCACTGGGTTGCCCTTTCCGTGGGGGGAACACGTAGTAACTATTATAAAAAAGATTGCCTGCGACATGTCTCTGCTTTTATAAATAACCAAACCAAGGAGGGGTCTTTTTTTAGACTGTAAGTATGAATCTGAGTACTTATTATCTAGTATAGAATTTGACCAACTTTACCATACCTGAGATCATAAACAAAATAAGCTTAAAGGTGCTGCTGATGATCTGGATATAGGGGTTGAGAATAGATCCAACACAGCCCAATATTCATGCATATGAATGTAAGTTAACCTTTCTTTCCTTTCGTGTTTGCACAATGTTTTGTTCTAAAAACGTTCTGGGAACATTACCATGAAGTTCTCATGTTTTTAGCGGGTAGTTTTATTTTGGTTCCCTTATTCTCCTAAAAGGAACACAGCAGAAACCTTTATTCCTTGCTATATTTTTAAGGTGGTAATAGGCAGACCTTGTTACAGCCTTAATGTGATTGTTAAAGTTTAAGTCTGGATTCATAATTACGCCAAGATTTCTGGCTTTGTCAGTTGTTTTAAAGTTGTTGTTTGGAGATGAGTGCTGACTTTTAGACATTCGTCTTTTGCTCCAAAAACAATCACCTACTCAGTTTTATCCTCATTTAATTTTAAAACGTTCTGTGGCACATCCAATAATTAATTTCTTCAATGCACCTAGCCAGTTCCTGTATTGGCCTGTAGTCTCCGTGTGACAAAGTTATGTAGACTTGCGTGTCATCCGCATAACTGTGATAACTAATATTGTTTCTTTCCATGATTTTAGTTAGAGGAAGCATGTAGATATTGAACAGCAAAGGTCCCAGGATGGAGCCTTGGGGAACTCCACACGTCATATTTAAGTGCTCAGATGTAAAACTTGAATCCTTTTAAGTAGGATTCAAACCTCTTTAAAACTGAACCAGAAAGGCCTATCAAGTTTTCCATTCGGTTTAAAAGTATGTCGTGGTTGACCAGCAGAACTGAGATCTAGCAATACTGTAGTTTTGCCGTAGTCTATGTTTAGGTGGATGTCATTAAAGACCTTAACAAGAGCCGTCTCAGTGCTGTAATGTGGTCGAAAAACCCACTGGAAGACATCAAAAATATTGTTTAGGGATAAAAAAAGGTTTAGTTGTTGATAAACCACCCTTTTAATTATTTTACTTAAAAATGAAAGGATTATATTGGTATAGTTATCCATTATTGACTTATCTAGATTGTTTTTTAAAAGTGGCTTGACAGCAGTTTTAGGGCCTAAGGAAAGATACCTGCTTGAAGAGACATGCACTGTAAAAAATATTTTTAAGATTTGTTATCACAACATATTTTCTTTTGTCAAATCAACTTTATATAATAATTTAGTTGAGACAACTTAGTATTTTGAGTTTCTGATGGTTAAATTAATCTACTTCATTGCATTAACTCACTTTTTCCAGTTCAATCAACTTAAAATTTTAAGGCAACCCAGGTGTAGCAAATGCAACATTTAATAATATACATAAAATGTATTTAAGGGGGCCGAAGGCCAATTTAGCTCAAAGGGAAATGATTCATTGATTTGCAATGAATCTATGGAACCGAATCACTGAACCGAGCAAATGACTCGCTTAGAATTCATTTGAACGGGCCGTAATTATAACCAAATCTATAGTGAAACACTATGTCTTAGCAAGGTAACTTTAAATCGAACAGTACAAGACATTAAATGTGCAAACACGACACAAGAAGATTTATCTTTTCAAATATATGGAAACCTTTATTAGCTATTCTAAACACAACTCTAAGGTCTAAACATAACTAAACATAATCACGCACACACACATTCATACAGTCGCGAAAGGGAAAGAGTGAGTTGGAAAGAGTGAGAGAAAGTTTCAACTTTCTATATGCACGTAAGACATCACCTGAAAGGACCACCAAGCATTAATTTGAACCTTCATTTCTTAGAGAGGTTATTCAATTAACATTAAAGCACCAGTTCAGTTAGAGCCTGGAGTACTTGCGCTTTGTAGTGGCTGAGGGAATTCCCTTTGTCTGCGTCGCGTCGAAGGGGGGTTTCCCGGCCGGGTCCGTTGCGTGGTTTGTTGTCTTTGAAGTGCAGGGATGGAAGTTTCGCCGCTGGTCACGTGTGATTAGCAAGCGAATGAGAGTCTTTTCCAGTTCGAAGCGCGTTGCAAAGTTAACTTTGAAACAAAACTTTTACGAAAAAGGAAATAAAGGAAAGAAATGAAAGTAAGACGAGTCGGATGGCTTGACTGAGCTGAATTGTAACCCTGATCTTGATGGGTTATTCGTCTGCTGGTTGAATTTGGTCTAGTCGATGTAGAAGCATGTGGACATGTTCTTTGTTTCAGAGATAAGCACGAACAGAACACTCTCTTGCTGGTTTTAGAGAGAGGCACTAACTTAACAGTTACAGAACTGAACGAACTGAACTGAACACAAACAAAAAGAAAGAACATAACAAAAACAAAACAAAACATGAGGTCTTGTTCCTTTGTTCGGATCTTTAACTTAAACTCTAGTCCAACCTCCAAGAAACTTCAGGCCAATGGGTAATGGCATGATCTCAGGAGGTGGATCTACTTCTTTACTTATCATAATTTATGCATGTTCTGTGAGCTGGTCTCCAGCACTTAGCAGAGACAAAAGACCATGGTTTAAACCTTATGATTATTATAATCATAAAACAAAACCTTTTATGCAGATTTCAATCAAGCCATCTTTTGAATTAGGAGAATACGGTTCGTTTAAGAGCAAACGAGGCATTCACACTTCTAATGGTTGTATAACAATTACAAGAGTTAATAGTTAACAACAATTACATGGTTATTATGTGATCTAAGCATAATAACACATGAAGTGTAGGAACAACAACAATTATGATTGGTTATAGGTCCAAGAATTGTTCTGTGGTGAGTTTATATGATTTTATGTGTGAGATCTCCGATCTCAACAGTGAGGTCGTGGTAGGTTCAAGGAGTAGGGGTAGAGGAAGGTGTTCTGTGTAACATCTCTGTCAGGAGATCAAAGAGGTCTTTGTTGTGAGCCTCTGTTCCACCATTTTGGAGCTGACCTGTCCCAGTAAAACATTAGCATATTGACACGTTCGTCCTGTTTAGTGCCCATCTCTTGGGCCTGTGGGGCAATAAAAGTCCTTATCTGCAGACAGCACGGAGTCGTTCCGTGACTCTGGAATGTGGGCTCCAGAACTTGGAGTGTTGAAGCCATGTGAATTAATTCCCATGAGAGATTAATTTGATTAAGTTGTGTTTGATTCGCCTCGATTCTCTACACAGGTTACTTACTTTTTTAAGTTTTAAGTTAAACCAACAATATTTTTTTACAGTGAAGTAATCACAACATTTTTTTCTTTTGTCAAATCAACTTAAATAATTTATTTAGTTCATATAACATATAATTTTGAGTTTCTGATGGTTAAATTAATCTCCTTCATTGTATTAACTCACTTTTTCCAGTTCAATCAACTTAAAATTTTAAGGCAACCCAGGTTACTTACTTTTTTAAGTTAAACCATCAATATTTTTTTTATGCTAACAATCTGGATAAGGTCTAAGACCAAACAGTTTGAAACATTTTTTTTTATGTCTGTCGGCAGGATGTCAAGGCAACAGGACGTAGTGTTCAGATGTTGAGTAATATCCTCCAAGTTATTTTTGTTAACTAGTTGAAAGTCTGTCATATGGAAATTGATTTCACCAGAGTCGGTATTACGTAATTTACACATGACAGGGAGGCACTAACTGAATGTCTAATATATTGGGGACCAGAAATTATTTCTGGCTGGCCAAGTACCTTTAATGGAGCTTTGAGATTTTTAATATGGTTGAAAATGGGGTATTTCATCGGATGAGGAATATGAATTGCTGTAGAAAGAGTCAACTTCCTTACTGACTGAAGCTTGATCTGTAATTCCCTGGCCCTGGAGCGATAAGGCTTTAATTGAACGTTTCTCTTGCCTTCTTTTTTTCTAAACGACAGAAGTTTCGCTACTTCTTTCCCCATCCTCAGTCCATTGTGCTCTGGACCTGATAAAAGACCCTTTCGCTTTACAAAGATAGATTTCATCAAGCTTTTTTAGAAGATTTAGTAATGTCTGTTTATCATTATCAACATTTCAACAGTAACAAAATTGTGTTTAATCTTTAAAAAGTCCCCAAACATTGACAGGAAAGAAAAAAATAAAACATGTCCCGTCTAGTGTTGTGAATTCTTTACTATCTGGGTTTAAGTATTATCTACTGCTGTAGTTTATATTTACAGAGTGTATTATGTAGAATACTTAGTATGTGGGATGTGGGTAGTAGTACGCAATTTGGTTGGACGCTGTTTGAGCGGAAGTGACAGGGTTAATTTGTGCATACAGCGGTCAGAGTATGACGTATTTTTCCAGTCGTGCAGTATTTCTGAGTACAGGGAAAGTTCTTGACGAAGTAAGTTCATTTCCTGACTATATTTATAATATTGAATGTTTATTCTGTCGGGATTATCTTAAACATTAAGTCTGTAAGCCGTGGGTGTTTCGCGATCTTTCTGTGCATTAGTTTGTTGCGTGAGACGCGTGTGACGCACGTGGAAGTGCCGATAGCTTTATGGCTAATGTGGATATTTTCGGATATATCTCGTTTAGTTATGTTTATGCATCTATATAAGATATTATACTCATACTTTAATACTATGAGGATGCTGTATAATATACCTTAAAGTCCCCGTGAACCGGAAGTTGCAAACGATTTTTCTCCAGTGCTGTGACGTATTTCCATGTGAAACGGATTATTGAACAGAGGGCAGGGTTTTACTCTAGCGCTCCTCCTCTCCATCTCTTGCTCATAGCAAACTAACTGTTTGAGGGCAGTGGTTAAGCGTTTCCCCACCCAAACTGTGAAACCTACGTCATCAGAAAAAGAAACCGTTCCAGACCGGAAGTAACTTTTCAGATTTTGATTAAAGATTACTAAGGTGAAACATTTTTTTAATATATATTCACTTGCACGGATTAATTGTTCACCACAAGACTAGTAATATGCGCTAACAAAGTAAATAGGTTCAATTTTGATTTCATGGGGACTTTAAGTTTTATATGCTCTGTTATTTTCTGTTTGCTTATTTCTGTTATGCTAAACTCACTGAGAGAGAACTGTTAAAAGTGTTTAATTGTTAATGTGCCATTTATCACAACTCTATGCGAGTATGTATGATTAACATTTAGTTATTTATGTTTGTTTATTTGTTTATTGCAGAAACTACCTCAAAAGCATAGCTCATATGTTTTAATGGTGAAAACCTGCACAGAAATAAAAGGTGGAAAATATCTGATGACTCCTACTCCTTGATCAGAGTACTGAAGCGGTTAAGCACAATAAAGAATCGGCATTCAGTGGGGCAATACCCAACATCTAGAATAGATATGCTTATAGAAATGACTTTGGTTTCTTGTAAACTGGAGTTAAAATAACCACTGAAACTAGCACTACATGTCTGCCATGAGGTCATGGAGGGAAGGTGATGCTTACGTATTGATAAAAGTGGCAATTACACGTGATATTTTCACATTTTCATATTCACACATATCTGTCAAAGAGAATCTTTAATCTCTCAGATGTTTTTTGATGGGTTTAGTATTTTGTAGTGAAGCTGTTTTATGTTGTCTGAGCTTCATATGAACAGGAATGAAAAGGCCCTTCAACAACACGCTGTTCACACCTCCGACGCAAACGTCATGAACACACTGTTTATCCACACAACAAGTCGAACCACATCTTGTGTACAGCTCGGCAATAAACCCCAGCACAGGTTTCAATATGACTCAAACTGAGATGTTAGTGGGCCAGAGCCTCAAACTCACAGGCGTAAAGGTTATCTGACTGCGACTAAACCATGAGTTTCCTCATTGTTTTAGCCAAATCTACATTGGGTGTTTGACTTCAGCTGGATTGAACCGGTGAGATTTCCTGCTTTCAGTTGTGGAGAAACTGAAGACATAGACTTGAAGTCGAACACCTTCTGCTTCCTGTAGAGATGTTTTGCGTAGGCGAGTTTGCGAGTTGATAAGATTCAAAAGGCCATAACGATTTTCATGACACTTTCATTCAGTACTTTGTTTATTGGTTAAAACAGCGCTTGTGCGTGCAAGAATACAGTTCAACATGAGACTATGAATACCAAAAGTGGTGCTACATATTTTATGAGTTTTATTTTGATAAACATGACTCAATGTTACATTAAGATAAGGCTACATGAAATAAGTTTTTACTGTTATACAATATTGTCTGCGTCTGAAATCGCATATTTCCCAATTCTATAGGCAAAAAATTTTTGTCGGTATGTGTGTCGGAAGAGATACTTCTTCCGGTGAGATTCTGAAGTGTGCATTTGATGGACACTTTAATATCCCATGAGGCCACGGGAGAGGATTTGTGAATGGAGGTGAAGCGACGCAACTGGTTGATCACATGATAATGACAACATGGTGGATGTACGACCGGATTAGATTCATACTATAGGCTGTATTATGAATTTCAGTGGTTACAAAGTACCTACTCAAGAGAGTATGGGATTTCGGACTCAGCCAATGTGTCAGAATAAACACCAAACACACGTGATCATTGTCTTTGTGAATTCGACCAATCATGAAACAACTTTTTGGCACATTTCATGTGCACTTGCAGTCTACACAAGATCGTAATCACGAATCGCTCTTACATCTGAAATCTCAACATTCGAACAGCATAAGTCAGACCAACCCGATCTCACGAGCAAGTCGTACGAATTCGACGAATGATTAAAAAGTGGCTAATTCGTAACAATTCATACGACCTCACTCGTTTGAATTAATACGATTTTGCTAAATCGTAAATATTTTACGAATTGGCCAATTCGTATGAATTCATATGAATGACCTACCCCTTTCCCCGCCCCTAAACTTAACCATCACGTGGGTTTAGACAAATCGTACGAATTAGTACGAGTGAGGTCGTACGAATTAGACACTTTTTAATCATGCGTCGAATTCGTACGAATTGGTCGTGAGATAGTGTTGGTCAGACTGGGATCGAAGCCCAACACATCTATTGAGTCTTCATAGGGCCGTTCACAAAGAATACATTTTTCTACTCTATTGAGCTACTTTTCCATGTTTTGTTTATGTAAATGCACTGTAGACGGATGCGTTTGACCATTGCGCTTTTATCTCTGCAGGGTCTCACGCGTGAATCCGGGATCTAAAAACGTGGCGCTCAAGATAAAATAAGTTTAACATTAAAAAAACGCATTTCTAGAACTTGCGACTATAAGAGTTAAACATGAAAAGGTTCTAAATGATTATTTTACCATTTTTTACATTATGATATCCATTTTACAGAAATAGTGTTTAAAGAATAAAATTTTAGTGGAAGAATACTGGTAATTCTTGTCTCGCACTATGGCAGTCCGTCACAGTGTAGAAGTTATAAAGTTAACATTTTCAATGCACCCCAAGCTCAAATGGATCCAAAAATTTCTGTTTCTAAGTAAGTAAGTATGCGGGTTTAGTCATTGCATGTCTCTGTCGGTGTGACGGGGGTTTACATGTACTGACTGTCAACGATCCCAAAACTCATCTACAAGCTTTAAGGAACTTGTCAGCAGGAGTTGTAAAGGTTATTGCAGGAGGTTCTCATGGCGACTGGTGCATACTCTACTTGATCTTCCTCTTTAAAATTCTGTAAATAAAAAAAATATATAATAATAATAATACAAAAAAACCCCATATACATATATATCTATTGTGTTTTCTTTTGTATCATGAAGGCCTGTTCACACCGGGACAAATTTCCCATGCGATATTCGGCGACGTTTAACGCCTTGTGACTAATGGTGCGTTCTATTATAGCCAACGAACCGACTCGGACCTCGGATTTGACGTCACGTCCACACTTCAAGCGTTCTATTTGTTTAACGCGTCCGAGTCGGAGAAAAAAATGGACGCCACCCGGAAAGCTGTTATAATGGTAGCGCTGGCCGAGTAGCAGGCACTTACATTAAAACGAAAAAATATTATGACTACATCTTATTAAAACGCAGCCATTTGAACTTGAAAATGTTCACTTTATTAATGTTTTTCATGTTAATCTTCTGTTAGCAACGCTAGCAACGTCAGTAATTGCACTCACAACAACCGATTCCCATACCTACAGGGGACGCAGTAATACGAGTGATAACCGTCATTTAAAATACCAAAGCGGTTCAAAAACAATGAAAACAATTCATTCTTACAAGTCCGAGAAATCCGAGGAAAGGGGGCGTGTTGCTAGGCAACGTCTGTCGTCCGATTCGGATCTCCGAGACGGATGAATAATAGAACGCACCATAATCAAAGGGTGCCAATGTGAGTGTGTACACCGACGCGGAAAACGCCACACATAAAAGCGGCATTTTCAAAAAAACGCCTCGGGTTAGTTTTTTTAAGTTTGACGCACCGCGTCAAAAACTATCCGGCCAATGAGATTGGCGCTTTTGCTCATGTGTCTGGAGCTTCTGAAGTTACAGTAAAACACAACTTGGGGGCGCTCAAACACAAAACGTTATACAAAACACACACCGGCGAAGGAGATGTACGCCAAGTAGCGTCGCCGTCTACACTGACGGGAGGAAATAAGACGAGGAAGATGCAAGGCAAGATGAATGTAGAGCTGCTGGTCTCGTTGGTGTCGGAACATAAATAACTAACGTTATATGACAAACGCGACAGTGACTACAAAAATCTTAAAAAAGAGAACTGTGGTATTGCGGCGCTGGACGCCATCTAATGTTAGGGATTGAATTTGCATGTTCACTCGACTCATTGTCAGCGAAAATCGCTTGGGTGTGAACATAAAAAAAACGCTTTGAAAAACGCGCGCCGATATTCGTCCCGGTGTGTACGGCCTTTTACTGTTCATGCTTGCATACATTTGACTGCCTGCTAAATTTATACAGAGATGTACAACATAACTTATGAATAACTTATCTTACCGTTTTATGTGCGTGTCTTTTGATGAACGTTGGCTCAGCGTAAGTGATCTCTTTTTCAAGAGTCTGATCTGTTTCAACAATAATAAAAGATGCATAAACAACTAGATATGTTTTTTCACAACATACTGTATGTGTTATTATCATGGCTGTCAAATTTACAGCATTAAAAGGGCTATATGTAAGAATTTTAATTGACTTTCCCTGACTTGTCTACTGTTTGTCTATAAAAGCCTGTATGTGAAGAACTTGAAACCTTTTTGGCAGGAAAATGAAACGGATGTGATGGTTAGATGCGCTATCTATAGTCACTGCTGTTCAATGTCTAATTTCTTTTCGTCTGAGGCTGTTTCGTCTGATGCCCAATTGTACGAGACCTGACACTGTTTTTCCTGAGACCTGAAGCTTTTCAGCTTTTCAGTCTGAGACGCTATGCAGTTTTGTCCAATGACTGAAGCCTTTTAGTCTTGTCTTCATATGTCTGAGGATGTCCTAAAATGTATGCCGTAGCACTGCCCAGTGTTATGTTATGGATTAATGCCAAACACTTGCCTTCTTCAGAAGTTTTTCTACATTTCCTGCGAATACAAAATATCACGACTGCAGACACAATCATCAGAGATCCAGCAGAGATCAACACTATCAGAGACACTGAGACTGGGTCTGGTTCTGTAATGATACAGAAAGAAGTGAACGCATCAGTGTGATCTACACCAGAAGACAGAGATCAGGTCAGTAAACACACACACACACACACACACACACATATCTGATGAGTGGTGCTGTACCTGCACATGTGTGTCTGCAGAGTGTGTTGATGTCCAGATGTGTGGTCTGGTTGCTGATGGGATTGTTCAGCACACAGCTGTAGGTGTTTTTATCCTGATATTCCACCTCCAGAGGTAGAGAGAGACTGATGCTGAGATCACACACACTGATGCTGGACAATACACTCATTCCTGCGTACCAGGACAGAGTCGCATCACACACACTCAACACTGATGATGAACACACCAATGAACATGATGAAGAACATCGTGAAGAGTTACTGATGATGACAGGAACAGGCAGACGAGCTGAGAAAGATTAGAAAGAGGGAGAGAGTTGATGTCATTCACAAACAATACACTGCTCAAAACGAAAAGTATTCAACAGGCTGAAAAGGAAAGTAAAAAAAATAAATAAGTGTTAAAATGATTTAGCTCACCATAGACAGTGAGATTGAAACTCTTTCTCACACTGTTGGTCTGTAGTCGATAAACTCCAGTATGTTCAGTTGTGGTGTTTGTGATGGTCAGAGATCCAGTTTGATCGTCCAGCTTCAGTCTGTCTCTGAATCTCCCATCAGGATCATCATCATATACAGTCATGCTGTCCTCCAGTACATCGATTTGAGCAATTAAAGTGTTATTATCTCCAAACCTCCACTGAATCAGATCATCGTCCATCATTTCAGTGAGATCAGAGTTTAGAGAGACTGAATCTCCCTCCATCACCGACACTGACTTCAGTTCATCTGGACCAGCAAACACTCCTGAAGAACAGAGTTTAGGGTCCCAAATAACTTTATGTTGATTTAATTAGATTTAGGATCAGTACTATGTAAAAGTAAAATGATGAAGACACCAGACAGCACTACAGACCGAATCTGAATCTGTCCCCATAATTTATTCTGATGATAGTCCTTCATCCAAACCATTAATTTATAAGTAATAATTCAGTTCAATTTCAAAATATTTGAAAATAATAGCAAATGCATCTCCATGTTATTACATAAAAACTAAAGCATGAACTAAATCAGTATACAAACAAAACACATTTATTACTTACCAGCCAGTTCGCACAACCACAAGCAGAACAAAAAGACAACATGAAACATTTCTTTGAGCACTATGAGATGTGAACGCTGGAAGTGTCTGAAAACAGACTGCCCCGACAAAGCAGAAGTGAGATATTAATCTAGTGTGTGTGTGTGTGTGTGTGTGTGTGTGTGTGTCAATCCTCAAATCCTCCCCCAACATAAACTGACCATCCTTGTGGCTGTTAAAGACCACATTTATTTCACAATATTCACGATACTCTTCTTACAGGTTTAAAATGGTCTTCAGCATATATACAAGTAATTTGATCTGTACTGATTTTTTTTTTAATAATTATTATTATACATTGCAAAGTGTTGTGTTTATGGTTAAAAAGAAGCAGAAGTTTTAAGTCTTCCAAACTTTTAAGTTCATAGATGGGGGAATGCATGAATCATGCCTTCGACTTATTTAAATGATGGATTCATCTTTCAATTGAAATTGTGCTTTGAGTGGAGTGAGTCAAGTAACGAGGTTAGTACATGTTAGTTCAATTATGTAAATACGACTACAGCACTTTCAATGAACAATCTATAGGCTGTGTCACAGTCACACGCTTTCTGTGATTCACTTTGTGTGGGTCTGTTTTAAAATAGAATGTAGCTTTTATTCAAAGAGACTTAGTAATTCAATCACAAGATGTTGTTATGGCTATATGCACTATGGGTTCGACGATTTTCCGTTTTTGTAGCCTATACTCGAGCGGATGTATTTTGCTTTCGCTTGGAGACTTAACTATAGGCTAATGCAGCAGGCTATTTCATTTGGTCAAAGAAATATTGATCATTGTGATTTTATGTGGATAAATCGGTCGTGTATTTAATAGCCGACATTTATAACACTGATTATCACATTCTGAGGACGTTTTTCGTGAGGAAGAAAGTATCTATAGCAACAGAGAAAAAGATGGGACGCTGGTTTGTGCTGATCACTCTCTGCGTTTTGCTCGTTGATGGTAAGACATTAGACTATTGATTATGTAGTTTAATGCTTTCCCTTTTCGTCGATGATATTTATTTAAAAAAAGTAAAATCTAAAACCGTGGGGCTATCTTGTATTGTACCTATATTTATGTGTTGGGCGATAGGCTTATTTTTCTCGTTCTTCCTGTTCCGGAAACGGCGAAATCACACACACACAAACACAAAAATGTTAGAATATAATGGTTTTATTCGTATAAGGCTACATCAAATCATTGGTTAAAATGAAACGTTTAGAGAAAATGTAGGCTATCTGTATGAATGAAGCATATTGTGCATAGAAAGTTGAAGACTGAGGCTGTTTATTTCTCTGCCTTCTGAAAGTAGCCTAGCTAGCGTGGGAGGTTGCAAATACGCCGCAGAACTGCAATGAGAGATTTATAAGAATATTTACAAGTAGCTATTTTTTAATTATTATTATTTTATAAATAATTAGAACAGCATTGGAATAATGAACTCTGTATATTTATCTAACCTAGGGTATTCGATTGCATTTACATTGCTAAATCCACGTTTACTGACACTGATTTATTCGTATTCATTCGGTTTGCATGTTAATCTTTTGGCCGGACCAAATGACAGCACTTCCTTGTGTGTTGGTGCACAGATACGGTCTGGGTGAGCAGGGAGGCCAAGCGAGTATTGGCTGATATTTTATATTTACACTCCGGATCCGCGGTGTATGATACACGCAGACACAACAAGAAGCCGCCTCATTGTTTATTTGTGTCCTCAGGTGTGTTTTGTGATGAAATGATGACAGTGTCAGTGATGGATGGAGATTCTGTTACTCTACACACTGGCGTTACCAAAAAACAACATGATAAGATGCTGTGGTATTTCAACGACACTCGTATAGCTCTGATCAACGGACATCCCGACACGAGCTGCTTATATGATGGAGAAGACGGGAGATTCAGAGGCAGAGTTGAGGTGGACTATGAGACCGGATCTCTGACCATCACCAACATCAGATCTGAACACACTGGACGTTATGAAGCAGAACTGATAAGGAGTGAAAGTTTAGGCAAAAGGCAAAGTTTAAACAGAAACCGCAAGTGTGACAGCACAAAAATCACCAAAAAGTTTAGCAGCTCTCATGATGACACTATAAAAACATTCAGCGTGATCATCAGTGGTGAGTCACTCAATGTTATTTTCCCTTACATGTTTTTTAAGGAATAAAATATTAGAAAATGAAAGATAATTTAAAAACACTTTGAACGTCAATGGGATGCTGTCTACAGTTCTGTTTAGTTAGTTTCATTTTCATGGTCTTTTAGTTTCGTTTTCACAATGTCTTCATATCTTCATACACAGCAAAATCCCCAATGTTAAATCAACACTGAGAGTGTTAAATTAATACTGAGTAGTGTGAATTATATAAACTCAGAGCAGAGTGTTAAATGAACACTGAAGCAGTGTTAAAGTTAATGAGTGCCCAAACTTTTTCCTATTAAAGGACAACTCCGGCGCAAAATGAACATTTGGTCTAATTACACATTGTTACCTAGTCAACCGTTATCTGAGATTTGTTTTCATGATTGCCGAATGTAAATAGTTTTATCTCTATAAACAGTTTAGCCTAATGCTAGTATATAGGGCATAGAGTAATGACAAATAAAAATCGCTTATTATTACCACCAAAAAGGCTCAAAATAGTCCCACAGTAACACGACAGCATAAGGGTCCCTACATACAAACCGAAGCACTGAGAACGTTGTTAGTGTCCATACAGTTTAATAAGAAGATATTTTATACACACAGTCAACTTCGCGAATACAGGAAGAAGCCATCTTTGAAAAAAGTCTCTACCAATCGATCTACGAACGCCGATCCATGTGCGCTGAACTGTGCAGAATCTCATATGGTCCGTTGTTTCCAGAAGAAACACAAACACAAACCATTTACTTCTCTTCAATATGTACACGTAGCCTACTGTTCGCGCTCACTTTATCACCTTATTCACATCTCACCAGCGCCCTTGGATCAGCGTTCGTAGATCGACTGGTAGAGACTATTCTTCCTGTATTCGCGAAGTTGACTGTGTATAAAATATCTTCTTATTAAACTGTGTGGACACTGACAAAGTTCTCAATGCTTCGGTTTGAATGTAGGGACCCTTGTTATGCTGTCGTGTTGGTGTGGGGCTATTTTGAGCCTTGTTAGTGGTAATAACAAGCGATTTTTATTTGTTACTCTATGCCCTGTATATGCTAGCGTTATACTAGCATTATAGGCTAAACTGTTTTTAGAGATAAAACTATTTACATTCGGCAATCATGAAAACAAATCTCTGATAACGGTTGACTAGGTAACAATGTGTAATTAGATTATAGGTTCATTTTGCGCCGGAGTTGTGCTTTAAGGGCCAAAAATCAAACTTGATTGTGGGCCATGGCCCAAAAGTAAATTTTGCATCATAAATCAAACGGTATTACATTAAAGTTGCTATGGGTTTATTTATTTTAGAATATTTAAAATAAATATAAAACAACGTCAATCTGATTAACTAATGCAGTTTTATTTGTAAAGTTTTGCATTTTAAAGAAATCCCCTCTCCCCGGACGGTATGGGGGCCAAATCAAAGGCCCTAGTTTGGGCATCTCTGCATCAGAGGAATGACATGCAAAATTGTCTGTTAGGGTGTTTTTAAGTTGAAACAGTTATTTCTATTTCTGAATATTTAATATTACACGTCTATTCAAATTGTCTTCCATGATGTTTTATACATTTTCGTGTCCAATAGTCCATGAGATTGAATCCAACTAAACAGAACTGTGACAACTGTAAATATAGTTCGCCAACAGAAAAACTGCAAAATAAAAAATGTAATTTGAAATATTTTACAAATAATTAAATTCATAACATTACTGAAATCCTGTGATCTATACAAACAATCCTACTTTCATATGTCTTAAGAGTACATCAAAGCATTAATATTGTTCTTTCGTATTGCTGTATTTGTTATTGGTTTGTGTTTTCCAGCTTCTTTGTCGGATCAAGACGAAACTGATGAAGAACCCCATTTGGAGAAGCGGGAGTTGAACCTGAGTACGTTTTCTCCCTTCCTTTTTTTTAATCTATGAATACATTGAATATCATTTAGTACAGTTTATTTATGCACTGTTCCTAAGGGAGCGTGCTTTTATACCGTAGTGAACACATTTCAAATATCTATAAATGTTGTTTGTCAAACTTTATCCTAAAAACCTACTTATAATCAAGATGTCAGAAATAATTAATTACGCTGATGGATACTGGAAATGCAAACAGAAACATGGCGAAGATGTAAAGATGTTAGGCAACTCTCGACATTTCCGGAGGATTTTTACACTCTAAAAATGCTGGGTTGTTTTAACCAAACAAAACCAAACATTGGTTTAAAAATATAATTAAAAAATTGAACCCAATGGCTGGGGTTGTCCATATTTGACCCAAAGTTTGGGCTAAATCAACCCAGCAATTTTTAAAATGTAGATCTTCCTTGCATCGATTTGAAGCACAGACGGTTTAGTTGTGAACAGGGGAAGTTAATCTCGTATTCTCCTGTGGAAAAACTGTTTAGTAACACACCCAAATTTCATAAACTGTAATGGGATTATTTCACATTGGAATAGAGGATTTCCAATTTGAACATGTAAAAGTGTCCATAGAGAATGTATAAACACACAGTCATATTCTCTCGCACTAATGACTGTTTGTCTTTATAGATCCAGGTGTGTTTCCAGCTGTTGTCGCAGGAGTAAGTGCTGCTGTTCTGCTGCTGGGGTCTGCGGCTGCTGGAGTGATTCACTATCACCGCTCTAGAAAGGGTCAGTGCTATAGGATACTATAGTGAGAGGAAAACATTACAGGCCAGATTTACTAAACAGGGGACATTAGCGTGAGAGCGCCTCCTCCAAATGCATGTGCAATAAGCCGCAATAATAACCCTGTCCACATCTTTTCAGCGCTACTTTTTCACTGCGTGTCTTTATACATCCTGACAGCAAAAGAAGGTTTGCACGGACGCAAGCTGTTCCCATGTGTTTTACAATTATAACACTGCTCTCTGGAATACTTGATTCTGATTGGTCAGTCGCAGCAAAAGTGAAATGAATAATCCTCAGGCTGTAAATGTAAATTCACACATGTACAGCAGAGGGCACCACTCAAACAAACCTCTCAGCTCTGATCTGGGTGCAGTTTTTATACAAAGTTTCATTATAAAAACAAAAGTGAAACTTAACTGTGTTATTTATTAGGGCTGTCAAACGATTAATCGCATCCAAAATAAAAGTTTGTGTTTACATAATATATGTGGGTGTGAACTGTGTATAATTATTTTATATATATTAATACACACGTGCTTGTATATATTTAAGAAATTTTTTCATGTATATTCTGTTTATAGATTTATAAATAATTTATATTATATATAAATATAAATATTTTATATATAAATAATATTTTTTCTTAAATATACATACATGCACGTGTGTGTATTTATATATATATATATAGAAAATAATTATACACAGTGCACCCACATATATTATGTAAACACAAACTTTTATTTTGGATGCGATTAATCGCGATTAATCGTTTGACAGCCCTATTATTTATCTAAAGTCATTGTTACTTGTTAGTATGATTGAATTGAATCGTCAAAGGTCAAAGACAGTGGATAATAAAGTGAAATTAAAGACCTAAAATATATATGTATTATTTAACATATTTATTTATGGCACGTTCGTGTAATATTCATACTTTTTCGTACTGTTAAATCAAACCGTACTTTACTGTTTTTAATCATTTTGAGGAATACTGAGTGTGTTTTTGTGTAGTGTAATGAGTGAATGCTTACATTTAGTCTAGAATTACTATCATGTTCACACACACCGCCTCAACATGAGGACAGGAGAGCTGTCCGTCAATAAATGGGAAAAGCTTTACTGGTTTGAAAAAGTCATCTGATTATGTACATCTTGTTATGTTTTGTGACGGGGGAGAGCAGAGCACAACTTTTGACTTGTCTGAGTTTGTGTAAATTCACTTGGGGTTAAGAGTGTTTGTTCTTTCCTACATTAATGTAAATATATATATATTAGGGCTGTCAAAACGATTAATCGCGATTAATCGTATCCAAAATAAAAGTTTGTGTTTACATAATATATGTGGGTGTACAGTGTATAATTATTATATATATATATATAAATACACACACATGCTTGTATATATTTAAGAAATATTTTCGTGTATATTTTGTATATAGATTTATATATAATTTATATTATATATAAATATAAATATTTTATATATAAATAATATTTTTTTCTTAAATATACATGCATGTGTTATATATATATATATATATACAAAATAATTATACACAGTGCCCCCACATATATTATGTAAACAGAAACTTTTACTTTGGATGCGATTAATCGCGATTAATCGCTTTGACAGCTCTAATATATATATATATATATATATAAAGTTAAATGTAAAACCGACCATATAACGGTCACAGATCCAGAAGTTTTCAGAGACGAAGATGATCCAGAGATTTCCAACATGAAGGGTTTAATATGTAATGATACGTACACTGAAGGCAAGAACCCAAGTGCAGAATTTATACAAATAAGCAAAACATTATCAAACATAAAACATAACATGGACAATAACAGAACGCTTACACAAAAAATATTTGACAAAGACACATGGCGAACGTGAGGGCTTAAATACACAAGACTAATGACTAGGGACACAATCAAGACAATGAACCAATGACAATGAACAGGATCACAAGAACAGGGATCACATGACCGACATGAAACAAGAACATGAAACAAAACCAAAACTTGATGTAATAATAGAGTAAACACAGGGTAATCCAAGGTCAAGTAACAGTGTGTGTGATACACAAACAACTGAACACAATAACGAAATCAATCAATCATAACGAAATTGTTTTTTTAAAGCAGACGGAGAGAAAATCAAAAGACCTTACAAAGAACTGGAAAAAGATGAGGTAAGATTGTGTCATAGATCTGTGTTTGATTTGATCTGTACCAGCAAACTCATCCTATAGTGGTAAATCAACTCATTTACTCATTTACTCTCATAATCTCTCTCTCTCTCTCTCTCTTTCTCTCTCTTTCTCTCTCTCTCTCTCTGGCTTCCGGTTAAAATCTCGCATTCAAATTGAATTTACTTTCTATAAATTGGTCAGAGACATGGATATGTTTAGATATAAATGGGGAACAAATCAATGCATTTGTGATGTTGATGAAGATGGCTGCTTGAAATTGTATGTTTAAGTCTATCTGTGTTTTGAAAAAGTAAAAAAAAAATAAAAAATTGAAACTTACCCTCAGATTATTCAGATCTAACACTGGGAAATTTGTTGATATGAAGATTTAATGTTTTTTTAAATTCTTTTGTAAATAAATAGACCTTTAAAAGTCAAAAGTCTCTCTCTCTCTCTCAATTCAATTCAATTCAATTCAAAGGGGCTTTATTGGCATGAAAGTTTTTCAAACAATGTTGCCAAAGCATATACAAAATATATAAATACTATATATATATATATATATATATATACACATATACACACACTCACACTCATACACATATACATATATATATATATATATATATATATATATACATACATACATACATACACACACACACACACACATATACACAAACATTTAACACAATATCCGGATATATCTGTGTGTGTGTCGATCACTCACTGCCCCTCAGGTTGTGGCATGTTTGTATATATTTGTATATATTTGTGCATGTTTGTATATATATATATATATATATATTGTGTATCTCTCTCTCTCTCTCTCTCCTTACAGAATAGAAATACAGATTGTGAGATTTGACGGTGTAAAGCAGCCACTACAGCATTATTACTAAATACAATATTATTGATCCGTGTTGTATTATTTTCATGTTATCACTGTGAAGCTGCTTTGATACAATCTGTAAAAGCACTATATAAATAAATGTGACTTGCTATAATGAAGCAAATAACCTGTGTGTTTTTTCAAGAGAGTCTGTGTTGTGTTTTCTTTGACAATTGAATTATTTATTAATTTTTATTATATTGAAAATGTTTATCTAATTATTCTTACTCTTTGTGGTGCTTGCTGTTGTTTTAATCTTATGATTGTGTGTTTTCGATGTGTATTTTATTTAAATGTTTGTCACATGTTGATGTGGTGAAGCAGTCATTTTTCATTGCTTTTGCTTTGGTAATATAACACTAAGATTATTTAATAAACCACGTGTTCACTGACACTCACTCCACATTTACAAATTAAGCACTTTATCACAGGAGTTATTATAACGAGTGTCAGATGAATATTAATGAACGCAGTTACTGGTTATACCATCAGAAAAAACATGAAGAGTCACTGTTCAGAAATATTAATTTCTTCAGGCCTCAGAGATATTTCAAGCTTATAAAAAATCGTAATGTCTATAATGTTACTGAACATTTGGAAGTCAGTTCTGGACGTTAAAATACCATTCATATTCTCCAGAGCAACTTGTTATTAGTAATGATTCTGTATAAAATTAACACAGATCTATTGTTAGTAACTAAATGTATTTAATTTACAAACTCCACATGAAAAACTACAATATCCATAATCCTAAAGAATAAAATAGTCAGAGAATCATAGGTTAATTCCCTCATGTGGCCTTTTACCTCCGTCTTATTGTTCTGTTTTCTTTTGCTAATTCTAGAGATTGTGAAATATTATGAAAATTAATGGGACAAATACTTCCAGAACAAAAATGACTCTGTCAATGTTTACACTGTATAATTATATGTATTATGCATGGGGAAAACTACAATGTGAATATAATAATTCATATTAATAATTATGATAACTAATGGATACAATAAAAATACTCCAGATTTTTTTGTGGCATATTGTTGAAATGTAATTGTGTTTAGTGTATTTCAATATAATTAAATAATTATATTCATGGAGCTATTATGCAGTAATAGTTGTATATTTAAAACATTCATCATGGATTGCATTAGTTAGTAAAAACACACTTAGCAGAATCAACTCCATCTAAATTAATATTTTATGATTGTACAACGACTTCAACTAAAAAGAAAGGCTAAAATATGATTCATATAGTTGTATATCAGGTGTTACTCAGTTCTCGGTTTAAACTTGATGGTGTTTTATTGGCATGACAGATATTTCTACATTTATCATTTTTAATTTGTTCCGTACAATTAAAACGAAAAAAAGTGCAAAGCAACGAAACATAAATTAAGAAGCTGTGTATCTGGCAAAGAAATATAAATTGGAAGGCATTTGGCTTTATGCATTATACTTCTTGAACTTCAGCCAGCTCCTTTGTTTCCTGTCTTCCATTATTGGCCAAACTGATCAATTCAGGTGTGCCTGACCTCAGTACAGTAGTCACAACAACAATAATCAGACACACCTGATTTAATTAGTTTGTCCAATAATTGCAGACAGGAAACAAAGGAGCTGGCTGAAGTTCAGGAAGTAGTGCAGCTGTGCATAAAGCCAATTAAATAATGAATATTAATGAATGTTCTAGTTTTGGCCACCAGATGGACCCACCGTACACCATATGCGCAGTCGTGAACAGGAAGTAAAGCCGCGAATCAAACACAAGCACACGCCCCGCACTTTCATTAAGTGTCCTCTGTCTGCTTCATTCTTCTCCAATGATGTCTGCTGATTGCAGAACCTGTTAAAATAAGGTAAATACAACTACTAACCACATAATCAACATTATTAAAGAAAGCCTATTGGTGCTTCGGTGACTACATCGCACAGAGAACCTGTCAATCATGATGTCAGAGCACCGTTTTTATAGCATAACTAAAAATAACTTTATTTTAAAAACGAACACTTGAAATTACATCAACGTGACAGAAACTACAGTAAATGACAGAAACTATCTTTGGAAAAAGGAAATGTGAAGTGTAATTGAATTGTTTAGTTGAGTAACATGCATAGATATGTAGGGCAGGCTATGTCTATGAGTAACATGGGGAGGCGGGGGTTATGAGCTATACTAGGACCGGCCACTGGGGGGCGATCGAGACGTTTTGGCTTCACTTTTGAGGGCTTGTGCGGCACGCTTGGTTTTAGCTCTTGAAGCTCTGACATCATTGACCAGAAGGACAACAGCAGCGGCGGCGGCCACGCCCATCAGCGCAGTGACGACCAATCGCAGCACAGCTTCAACAGAATCGCAGCAGGGGGCGTGGCTTTCTGGAGAAACGAATGAAACAAATGATAGATTAAATTGAGATTTTCAACGATCGTACTTTAGTCTTTCATGAATTTAAAAATATCTAATTTTCTGCTTCACTCAAAAATAATAATAATTAAGAACAGTTTAAAAAACAAGAGATGACAGAAGCCCATTCATCATGTCTGACATCTTATAAAATCCCAATGAAATCAACACATTAGTGAATTAATGTGATTAATATAATCAGTGCTGCTGTACCTGCAGATGTGTTAAAGAGTTGAGCTGTGACTGGTTTTGAAGTAGACTGACTGTCCATTTCTGTAATGATGAAGAAGCCTCAGGTCAACAGAAGACTCAGGTCAGTAAACACACACACACACACACACATACAGTATATCATCAGTGCTGCTGTACCTGCACATGTGTGACAGAGTGTGTTGATGTCCAATAATTGAAAAGACACTGTTGACTTCTTGAGATTTTGTTCAGTAATTTGTCTCTGTACAGGCCGCCATGCTAGATTTGAGTTGAATGACATCTCTGGAGATTTTACTTTGTTTTAGAAGTTATCAGTGTGATCACTGAAATGATCTCTTCATGTATTCTCTAATGTCTGTAGTGCTTGCTCATTTAGCCCGACTTCCAGAAATGAAATATGGACTTGTTTTGTGTCAGTTTTTACAAAAATCAGACTGAAACTTATCAAAGATATGAGAATCCAAAACATTATTTATTAAAGCATTATGCAAAATGAGGAAACACCATCCCTCCGTGCAGATAAAGGTGTCCCGCTCATAACTTAAGACCGAATGATTTCCATGATGCAAAGGGAATCCCAGAATCAGTCATTCAAATGGGATTTACTTAAAACAGATGTCAAGTAAAACACACAAACTGATGTAAGTGTAGCCAGTGAGAGGCCAGGAGTGTTTTTGAGCAGGCACCTGAAGGGAGGCCTATAGAGAGAGGTCCAATCTTTTGTCTGGACCAAGATGGCAGCACATCCTCGTGTGTTGGTGCACAGATTCGGTCTGGGTGAGTGTTAAGCGAATATTGGCTGTTTGGTTTTATATTACAAAGCCTTTTCACTGAATTAGATGTTTTAAATGCAGACACAAACTCTGTGTTGCACATGTCTATGTTTGTTTGTGTGTGAGCATGGTCTGGTGAGCAGGTGGACTAGAAAAACAGAGATTGTTTTGTTTCATATTTATGAAGTCTTGTTTTACTAAATTAGGGAAATGTTTCTAATAACATTGTGGATTTGTAGGCCGGTTAGTACGTCTGTTCCTATTTTAATCTTGGAAATTACTTCAGGGTTGGTGGTTATGTTAAGATTAGATAAGGTTAGATAAGATTAGATAAGATTAACTAAGTCAAGTAAAGATTGAGTATTCTAAAACTTAAATACTAATGTGTGTGTGTGTGTGTGTGTTAGGGGTGGAACTTCAATTTATTGGTTTATGACCACTCACACTATTGTTTGGACTACATTAATTTATTAATCTCATTTAATTCTAAATTTCAGCATTAACCAGATATAAAATTTAATCTAATCTGCAGTTACAACAACAAATAAATAAACGTATTTCATGATTCCCTGAAAATGTTTACAGCACATGGTGGTAAAAGTATCATGACTTAAAAGTTGGACCAGTTAGACTTAAAAAACAGGATCATAAGTCTGTCCTAACAATGATTGGAGAAGTTATAGTTCAGTTCTCTATTCAAAATAAATAAAGCTGAATTTTTGAAGAAGTTCACTACGTTTCTCTAAACCTTGAATTGATCAGTCCACTGTAATATGTCTGTAAATGGAGGAAGTTCAGCACTGCTTCTCTTATGATGAAATAGCAGCAAAGACTCAATGTTATGAAGAATCTTCAGATAAAGAGTCAAAAACTTAATCTCTGAAGGAAAATCTGCTTATTTCTAAACTAAAACCGCATAGAAGGACAGTGGACAGATGGAGCACGAGAGAAAATAATAAAAATAAAATCACATTCTGAAATTGCCTATTTTAGCCTATATAATAATATTCTATTAATAATAAAAGTTATTCGTAGAAAAATGGTGCAATAATTCTCCTGACCAATGTGTTGCAAATACAGGAAACATTTAGTGGAAGTGACTGAAGCCAGAGGAGGAACAAACATTTACAAAATCTGAGTAATTTTGTTGAATGTGTTTGTCTATAGTGTGCTTAATCATTGACTGTTATTTAGATTAGTCCAACACCTCTTTAGCATTTTAAAGATTTATAACCTATACCATACCCATACCTATATCATTTTAAACGACCCAATCAAACTCTGAGCAGAGTGTTAAATGAACAGCGAAGCAGTCTTAAAGTTAATGAGATAATTAAGTAATTAATTGAGTGATGATTGAGCATTACTGAAGACACCTGATGATAACAAGCAGAATCTCTGAAGGAGAAAACCTGAATTTAAAGTCACCATTATGGTGATCAGTGTTTGCTTTAGCTGGGCTCTTGACCCTTACATAATTAGCTTTATATATATTTAAAATAAATAAATAAATAAATAAAACAAGAATTGGGGAAACTTCTTAGAAATAACTGCTAATAGTCGCTATAGCTGGAAAAAACTTACTGTAAAAATGTCATGTCATTAAATGTGCTGTAATTCTGCTATGTTCTTGCTTAAAGTGCCCCTATATGCTTTTTTGTTGCTATTTTTATGCTTTCTAGTTTTGTTTTGTTTTGTGGACTCAATAGATTTACATGCATCTAATGTAAAAAAAAAAAAAACAGTTTAATTTTGAACATGATTATCAGATAATTTCTCAAAGAGGCTGAAAACTGTTTTGTGTCGAGCAGGACGAGGCCGTGGAGAGATTAATGATGCGACGCACCGGTCTCGTATCTCTCACGGCCCTCGTCCTGCTCGACACATGTTTGATCACAGATTCATTCTCTATAAACCCAGACTGTTGTGATTGGTCTCCTCTGAACATCTGTTCACATCCTCAGTGTGCAAAAATAAACCGAGATACAGTAATTCATCATATTTGCACCTGGCCATTGCTTGCATGACATTCATTTGCAGTGAGCTTTATGAGCTTTATGAGTTTCAAATATTATGAATGTATGATTGACAGGTGTGAAAGAGACACATTATCCACACTTCAGAAGTTAGAAGTTTTTCTCATGGTCAGTTTTCAATGTTTTAGAGCAAATGGATTAATATTTTAAATGTAATTACAGTGTCAGAGAGACATTTCTAAGATCACAAATAATTTAAAACATTTTTATACCATGGTCTGGGTGAATACTCGATTCTGATTGGCTGCAGGGTGTCCGTTAAAAAGTGATAGAGGACACCTAGTAAAGTAGTTCTGGTGAAACTGCCTGTTTACCATTCGAAATTAATAAATAATAAATGCGCTGCCTACAACGGCTGTGAGTAACCATAGCAACAGGCAGTCACATGCTCTATCATCTAACGTTAGATATTATAGCCTAATACAACAATGAGCGACTTCGTGCTATTTCTTTTAACATTTATGGAGAAAATGGCAACTTTGACGACTGGTATGCTGCTGAAGAAAGAAAAAATGTAAATAAAACGGAGGAAATTACACCGCTGCTGCGCTGCTCCATTGAACTCTATTGGTAACGACGTAGGCTAACTTGCGACCATAGTTGGATAACACGATGCTTTCGGGAAACGCACCCCTGAATGAGACCCTGCGGGAGTTTTACGCAGCTGTCCAGACAACCAAGGCAGGAGAAGGCTGAACGTTACAGCGTTTCAAGCCTAAGGAGCCTGAGGCAAATGACCCTCTCTTTGATCTGATTAATTTATTGCCCTCTATAACGTTAAGCGCAAATCGCTGGAGCTCAGAGCTAATTGTTTTTTTTATTGTTGTTTGATTAATTGTTTTATGTGTAATAAAAAAACTATGCCTACCTTTGTGTTTCATGAAAAAAAAAATGCATTTGTGAACCTGAAGGGATACGAGCTAAGCGGACTATAAATATCTCCGGTTGCTAGATAAACAGTCAGTCAAGTTATTATTTGTAAAAACTAGATTTAGCCTATAATTAAAATATAAACTAATGTTTTATTTGGCAAGTGACCATGGTAGCCTATAAGCGGAGCTGCGCGTCGGCCGGTTTACGCCTCGCCGTCGTCCATTAAAACCTGACAATGGACACCTCGTCGGGCATTAACCCTTACTTATTGTCTAGTATTGTGAAGAATTATGATAATAAAATGCCACTTCTGTAATATATAATAATAGAGCTGTATTCCTCTACTCACCATAGACAGTAACATTGAATCTGTGTGTAGACGATGAGCTGCTGCTGCTGATCTCAACTTCATAAACTCCAGTATGATCAGTTGTGATGTTCATGATGGTCAGAGATCCAGTCTTATCGTCCAGCTTCAGTCTGTGTCTGAATCTCCCATCAGGAACATCATAGATCATATTGTTCACTCCATCAGTTCTAGCTATAGCTATAAGACTCCTGTTACGTCCAAATGTCCACTTTATCCTATCACCGTTCTGTATTTCAGTGAGATCAGAGTTTAGAGAGACTGAATCTCCCTCCATCACTGACACTGACTTCAGTTCATCTGTACCAGCAAACACTCCTGAAGAACACACAGAAACAGTCTCTCACACACACTTTCAGTTGTTTTGGTGAAGCATTACTGAAGTTTGAAGTGGTTTTGAAATTATTGAAAAAGTTGAGATGGCATAAGATAGAAATGAAAAAAAGGAAAGAGTGCAGAACAGTTACTGAACCTCTTCTTATATTGTACACTTTTATTTTAGTGTTAAGAGTTACACGAGTGAATTTCCAGTGAGGTGGAAGTGAAGTTCATTAGAGCGACTACATACACAATATGCAGCTGTAAAAAATGATAAACTTGTCTAACTTACCAACCAGACAGCAACAGCACAAACAGCAGAAAGCAAATGAGTGAAACATTTTCAATAGTTCAGCGGTCTGAAAGAGTGTTAGTCAGTCTGAAAACGTGTGTGTGTGTGTGTGTGTGTGTGTGTGTCTGCAGTGAAGATGTGTAGAGAACAAGTGTCCACAATCTGAACTATTTGCTAACTTCCTCCAGACTGAATTAGGCCACGCCCCCTGTCTCCAAACACACGCCCTCTCTGAAACCCCGCCCCAAATGTTGTGTTGTGTATTCTTCTGCATCAATAGGTGATGTTTGTTTGTTTGTTTTTTCAGATCAATTAAAGATTAATCTCAGCAGCTGTTTCAATGTTTCACAGTCATAAATGCTTGTAGATTAATCTTTCATAAGTAACATTAATATTAAAATAAAAGACTCATAATCATGCAAAGAATAGTTTAAAATAAAATAATTGATTTATTTCATACTGTATTCCTTTTCATAATTTCTAGATCAGAAATTTGAATATGAATATATAAGGGCCAAGAGCCCAATCTGATTGGACACTGATCACCATTGTGGTGACATTAAAACAAAAACAGTGGTTAACAATTACATTTCTTACATATTGACACACACTGAAGGAAAAAATATCCATGGCAGCACAGCGTGCCAAACCTTTACCCTTAATGAAAATTAATAAATGAAAAAACAGTTGAAAAAGCTGAAGTAACATGAGTAAACTACTTCCAGATGTTGACTGAGCACATTAGATGAGGTCTGTATATCTCGGGAAGTTGAGTTCCTGGTCAAGAACACTAGATGGCGCTCTAGTACACTATCCCTGCGTCCCAATTCGCATACTATCCGTCCTAAATAGTATTCGAAAATAGAATTAGTGCGTTGAGTGTTTCAAAGATACCCGGATGGTCTACTTTTTCCGGTCAGAATCCGAAGTGTAGATCGATGCACACTCTAACGGCTGATATTGCCCACAAACCATTGCGCGTTGGACGAGGATTCGGTTAGAACTACAAACACGAGTAAAAAAGTGTTAAACTACCGCACGTAGTCAATACGGAGGACGCGCGAGTCCCCGCGGTTGTGTAGAGAGGTTTAGATAAAGAGCTTTGAGTGAATAATCATCAGTATCTAAACTGACGAAAATGAATTTATTCAATGTTGTCCAAATTATATTGCATTTGCAGCAGCATTGTGAACTTTTGTAAAGACACGTTTAGCCATTACGTTTTAAATGCATCATTATATTTAAATTGTAAACACGAGGAGAGCATGAAAAACCCACAACTGGCAGATGAACGTGCTCTCCAAAACGGTAGGAAATCAAATTAGATAGAATGGAGGATTTTAACTGTGACAAGATGATTGACAGGGCAGTTTACGGTGACAGGATGCACGCAGCACGCGACAGAGCTGTCCATTAAAGATGACGTGATAGTCCCAAAGCTTGCCTACTCTTTTGCTACACACTCAAAAGTATGTACTTTTTCCTCACAAAAAGAGTACATACTTTTAGGGCGTAGTATAAGTATGCGAATTGGGACGCAGCAATGTGTCCTGCTTGTTGAAGGTACACACTTAGATTAATAAATCATAAAATAAAGCAGCACCTACATTTTTATTTTTACTTTATTTGTAAATTTCTTTACCACTGCATGAATGACTTTACCATTTAAAGATGAAGATAATGATGGAAAAACAGCAAAAAGAAAAAGAAAAAAAATCTTTCCCCCAGAATGTATTTGACCACCGTTTATTTTTTAAGAAGTAATATTAAACTGATCAAAAATACATTTATCATGTTGCATAAGATTTTCATTTCAATACTATCTGTGAATATAGATTTCTAAATCTTTGCAAAATAAGCTTAAGTAGATAAAGTGATAAAAACAGAAGAATTGTATATGCAATATTGACTTTAAATCTTTCTAAAACATGATTAACTGGATAGATTCAATGTTTTCTGCTTTGTTTTCTCTCGTCATCCTCTTGCAGCTCTGACGTCATTGACCAGAAGAACAGCGGCAGCCGCAGAAGCCACGCCCATCAGCGCAGTGACGACCAATCGCAGCGCAGCTTCAACAGAATCACAACAGGGGGCGTGGCCTTCTGGAGAATCTAATGAAACAATGGTAACATTTTCAACAAGCTGATTTTATTCTCTGTCAGGAATTTGGATTTCCTCAAAACTCAAACCTTTTGTTTAGAATAACATGAGTAAGTTAGTTTCATTTTTAGAATAATATTTCTTTAATGCATTCCTGGCATTGAGCTAAAAAGCCCATATGACCCTTGAGGTACCTGCAGTCTGACAGAGTTCAGTGATGTTAATATGTTCACATTTTGGCAATGCTGATGATGATGATGATGGTGATGATGGTGGTGATGGTGATGATGATGATAATGATGATGATGATGAGTCTCCACTGGTAACAGGATCAGGCATAGTAGTAGCAGCTAAAACATGAGAAAAATCAAAACATTTTTATTGCAATATCAGTCACAGTCACTCAAAGCTGACAGTCCTGATCTTCTTGAGGAGACATCGTCTAAATGCTAAAAGTAGGAAATAGTAGGGAAAAAAATATACTATGGGAGTCAATGAGACCAGAAACTGTCTGTTTACTGATATTCTTCCAAATATCAGAAAATCGGCTGAATACATTCGAAAACGGTAAAACTCAACTGTTTAACTCTGGCGGAGAGGTAAAATAAGCCTATTTCCAAAAATAGTGGAGTATCCCTTTAAAGTGCACAGCAATATCCCCAATGTTAAATCAACACTGTGCATTAATAATAAAAAATGAAAACAGTGTAATTAAAGAAATGTAAAATGGATGATATTAAAGAAGAAAATGACGTATTATCGTTGTGAACACTAGATGGCACAATACACCAGATTAATAGAGATGCATATACAGCTGAACATCAATCTTTTCTTTTCACATGCACATAGTAAACTCTGATATACAGTATAGAGAGTTTTTTTTGTCAGACATTAGCATTCACAGTAAAACTTCTCATGATTATGAGGAAGTTTAATTGTCGACCCATTCAACCCACATGATTCACAGAAACACACACTCACGCTATTCACACCTCTAGACATGCAAACACTGAAGCACATTAACCACAAACGTCCAGTGATAAAACACATTCTCATGCACACACTCTCTGACCTACAGATCAAACTACATTCATAGTTGATATCTGAAAATGAGGCCTTCTGCAGTTTGAGCTGTATTCAAAATGTCATGTCATTAAATGTGCTGTGATTCTGCAAATGTTCTTGCTTAAAGTGCCCCTATTATGCTTTTCTTTTTTTTTTTGTAGCTATTTTTATGCTTTCTAGTTTTGTTTTGGGGTCTCCTATAATAGATTTACATGCATCCAATGTCAAAATAAGAAAAAAACACTTTAATTTTGAACATGAACATCAGATAATTTCTCAAAGAGGCTGAAAACTGTTAAGTGGCGAGCAGGACGAGGCCGTGGAGAGATTAATGATGAGCGACGCACCGGTCTCGTGTTCACATATCCTCAGTGTGCAAAAATAAACAGAGATACAGTAATTCATCATATTTGCACCTGGCCATTGCTTGCATGACATTCATTTGGAGTGAGCTTTATGAGTTTCAAATATTTTGAATGTATGATTGACAGGTGTGAAAGAGACACATTATCCACACTACAAAACCCAGTAAGCAAAATGATGTCCAAAAGACGTCTTTTCAACGTCTTGGTCACAAAAGTCGGGCGTTGAAAAGACGTCCACTGATTAAAGTTTTTATGACGTGTTCTGCACGTTCGATATAGACTTTCATCGAACCTTCGTACAAGGTTAAAAAGTAGTTCATCTGTGGCCATTTTCAACATAATTTATTGTCATTTAGACAATTTATACTGTTTCTGGACCAAATAAACACTCAGGATGCATTACATTAAAACTCATGTTTATTTCAATGTAATTTCCTTACATTATTTAGATGTGGTTTAGATGGTGATATTTGTTTCATTTTAAGTCACCATTGTGGTGATCAGTGTTTGCTTTAGTTGGGCTCTTGGTCCCAGTTCTTCTTACTTTAACTTTTCTTTGGCTGTTGTAACTGTGTGTTTGTTTAACACCACTGTTGTGGCAGAGAAAGCCAAAAAAATGTCAAATCATCTGTCATCAGCTCTTTATTGATGATGATGATGATGATGATAGTGTCTGCCCAAAGTGATTATTCAACATTGTGTTTATTCTTTTGTCTAGCAATTATAATCTTCAATCTTGTGGAACTGAATTGTTTGGGGCATTGCATAAAAATGATCACGTATTTGAAGGTGAATAAAAAACATCACACAGTCAAACACAAACATAAAGATTTTGGATATGTCCCTCAACAATGGTGACAACCAAAACAAAAAAGCTTGTGAATCAAGGATGTTTGATTCCCAAGCCTTCTTTGCAGCATGAAGCTTTTTTTATTGTCGCCACTGTTGTGAATCATATGCAAAATCTTGATGTCTGTGTGTGACTACATGATATATTTTCTCAAAACATTGTGTAAACATGCTTTTTATTTACCTTCAAATAAGTGATCATTTTAGTGTTTATAGCCCAAACTATGCAGTTCCACAATATTGATGGTTATTAATGCCAAGAAAAAAGACAAAAGTCTTAACACAACCATAAATGCTTGCTTTTGTCATCATCAACAAGAAGATGACAGCTGATTTGACTTGTTCTTGGCTTGCTCTGCCATAAACATCGTATTTTACAAACACACAGTTACAACAGCCAAAGAAAAGCTGAAGTATGAAGAATTGGGACCAAGAGCCCAACTAAAGCAAACACTGATCACCACAATGGTGACTTAAAATGAGACCATAAATGATGTTGAAAACATGTCCACGATGGCCACATTTGAACTAGTTTTTAACCTTGTACGAAGGTTCGATGAAAGTCTATATCGAACATGCAGAACACGTCATAAAAACTTTAATCAGTGGACGTCTTTTCAACGCCCGACTTTTGTGACCAAGACGTTGAAAAGACGTCTTTTGGACATCATTGTGTTTAGTGGGAAGTTAGAAGCTTTTCTCATGGTCAGTTTTCAGTGTTTTGAGAAGCAGATGGATTAATATTTAAAATGGAATTACAGTGTCAGAGAAATTTTCAAGATCACAAATAATTTAAAACATTTTTGTTGTGTAGTATTGAGAAGAATGATGACAATAAAACGCCACTTCTGTAATACAGTATATAATAGAGAGAGCTGTATTTCTCTACTCACCATAGACAGTAACAGTGAATCTGTATGTAGACGATGAGCTGATGCCGCTGATATCAAGTACATAAACTCCAGTATGATCAGTTGTGATGTTCATGATGGTCAGAGATCCAGTCTTCTTGTCCAGCTTCAGTCTGCCTCTGAATCTCCCATCAGGACGATCATTGAACGTATTTTTCACTCCATCAGTTTCAGCTATAAGATCCCTGTTGCGTCCTAATGCCCACAATATCTTTTCACCTCTCTGTATTTCAGTGAGACCAGAGTTTAGAGAGACTGAATCTCCCTCCATCACTGACACTGACTTCAGTTCATCTGTACCAGCAAACACTCCTGAAGAACACACAGAAACAGTCTCTCACACACACTTTCAGTTGTTTTGGTGAAGCATTACTGAAGTTTGAAGTGATTTTGAAATTATTGAAAAAGTTGAGTTGAAATGAAAAAAGATGGAAAGAGTGCAGAACAGTTACTGAACCTCTTCTTATATTGTACACTTTTATTTCAGTGTTAAGAGTTACACGAGTGAATTTCCAGTGAGGTGGAAGTGAAGTTCATTAGAGCGACTACATACACAATATGCAGCTGTAAGAAATGATAAACTTGTCTAACTTACCAACCAGACAGCAACAGCACAAACAGCTGAAAGGAAATGTGTGAAACATTTTCAATAGTTCAGCGGTCTGAAAGAGTGTCAGTCAGTCTGAAAAGTGTGTGTGTGTGTGTGTCTGCAGTGAAGATGTGTAGAGAACAAGTGTCCACAATCTGAACTATTTGCTAACTTCCTCCAGACTGAATTAGGCCACGCCCCCTGTCTCCAAACACACGCCCTCTCTGAAACCCCGCCCCAATGTTGTGTTGTGTATTCTTCTGCATCATTAGGTGATGTTTGTTTGTTTTTTCAGATCTTTTAAAGATGAATCTCAGTTGTTTCAATATTTCACATTCATAAATACTAGATTAACCTTTCACAATGTTCATATTCATGCTAAGAATAGTTTAAAATCAATGAATTGACTTATTTCTTATTGCAGCTTTTCATGATTTTAACAAGTGTTCCCATTTGTCATACATCTGACTTTTCTAGATCAGAAATTTGAATATGAATATACAACGTCCAAGAATCTGATTGGACACTGATCACCATTGTGGTGACTTTAAAACAAAACAGTGGTGAGCAATTACATTTCTTATATTCACACACACTGAAGGAAAAAATATCCATGGCAGCACAGTGTGCCAAACGTTTACCATTAATGAAAATTAATAAATGAAAAAACAGTTGAAAAAGCTGAAGTAACATGAGTAAACTACTTCCGGATGTTGACTGAGCACATTAGATGAGGTCTGTATATCTCGGGAAGTTGAGTTCCTGGTCAAGAACACTAGATGGCGCTCTAGTACACTGTGTGTCCTGCTTGTTGTAGGTACACACTTAGATTAATAAATCATCAAATAAATCATCCACTGTATGAATGAATTTACCATTTAAAGATGAAGATAAAAATGGCTTACCGTGGATAATTATTTTTCGTTTATCAAAGCATCATTTGGTTGTAATATCTTTAATATGAAGAATGATAATTGTGAATCTGGGCACCGTTTAGCCTGTAAGAATATGTTGTTCCCCTAGAGGTCAAATTATGTCATAGTTTAATTTTTGAGGGTGTTTACAGCTCGCACATCTAACAGTTGAAATGAAGTGGAAACTGTAGACATCACTTATGTTTAAATAGAAACATACACAGAAACACAATATTCTGACTTGATATGTTCGATGAATAAACTTTTTTTAATGCTTTATTATCAACAAATAGCACAAGAATAACTTCCATACATCAGAAAAACAGATCACATGATTCACAATACAATATATATGACAAAACAAAGAGAAAAGGAAAAGAGAAAAAAATAAAAGAAGAAAACAACAGTTAGGGTCTAAATCTACTGTTTAGCATAAATATATTTTCATATGAAAATTTAAAATGATAACATATTACTGTATACCGGACACACATTTCCAATGGAGGGACAGAAAGCTTTCGGACTAAATCTAAAATATCTTAAACTGTCCTGAAGATGAACGGAGGTCTGACGGGCTTGGGACGACATGAAGAAGAGTTATTAATGACATCATTTTTGGGTGAACTAAACCTTTAAATTAAACAATTAATTTATTTCTGATAACAGCAAAAAGAAAAAGAAAAAAATCTTTCCCCCAGAATGTATTTGACCACCGTTTATTTTTTAATATTAAACTGATCAAAAATACATTTATCATGTTGCATAAGATTTTCATTTCAATACTATCTGTGAATATAGATTTCTAAATCTTTCCAAAATAAGCTTAAGTAGATAAAGTGATAAAAACAGAAAAATTTTGACTTTAAATCTTTCTAAAACATGATTAACTGGATAGATTCAATGTTATCTGCTTTGTTTTCTCTCGTCATCCTCTTGCAGCTCTGACGTCATTGACCAGAAGAACAGCGGCAGCCGCAGAAGCCACGCCCATCAGCGCTGTGACGACCAATCGCAGCGCAGCTTCAACAGAATCACAACAGGGGGCGTGGCCTTCTGGAGAATCTAATGAAACAATGGTAACATTTTCAACAAGCTGATTTTATTCTCTGTCAGGAACTCGAATTTCCTCAAAACTCAAACCTTTTGTTTAGAATTACATGAGTAAGTTAGTTTCATTTTTAGAATAATATTTATTTAATGTATTCCTGGCATTGAGCAAAAAGCTCATATGACCCTTGAGGTACCTGCAGTCTGACAGAGTTCAGTGATGTTATTATGCTCACATTTTGGCGATGATGATGATGCGGATGTGGATACGTCTCTGCTTGTAACAGGATCAGGCGTAGTAGCAGCTAAAACAAAAAATCCAAACATTTTTATTGCAATATCAGTCACTGTCATTCTTTGAGCTTGTCTTTTTAACAAGTCACTTGTAAATCTGGGCAGTCTTGTTATATTGATCGGAGAAACAAAGCTTTTTGAAATCCATTGAACCAATTATTTAGCAAAATGATTCTGTCTCCAAGCGCTCGCAGAATGTGAAGAATGGCTGTGTATTGTGATGCTGGGTCTAATTAATAATTATGGATTATTATAAATGTCACAGCACTAGGCAGGACGATTAGTGATGGATGCAGATTCATAATATGTAAATTAATGTGTGTTAACAAACAATAAAACAGACGTCACAGGGTTAAATGTATGACATCATAAAATGAACACGCATAAATAGTTTTATGTCATTTGAAATGGCAGGGAAGAATCCAAGTGCAATCATTGCGTTATTTTAATGTTATGTTTTAATGAGTGTGTTTCTTTACTTGATGTTGAGATGGTGATATTATGAGCTTGCCCACATATTTACAGCTCAGCTTTTACAGCAGATTTACCACTCAAACGGAAAATCGTGACCTAAATATTATATTCATTTACAATAAACAATCCTAAAATTCATCATTTATTTTTGAGATTTCAACTCAAATGAAATGCTTTCTAGAAAACACTAAAAACGAATGTTTTGGCGTAATAACTCTTGTTAGATTGGTGTTGGTCAGATGAAGTTTAGGAGAAGCATTGCAAGCAAATAAGATCACATTTAGTCCTATTTACTCATATTATTATTAAAAATACTGTAAATATGTTAATTATCTGTAAATGTTTATTTTGACTAAACCTATCTGGGTCTTTATGCTTTTTAATATTTGTTATTCTGAAATGTTATTATGTTTTGTTATATTTATATGTGTTGAAAAACACCTGGCAATAAATGGAGTAATTCCAATCGGGTTCATCGGTGCTCGGCCCTAAAAAACTCTTTCTGATTATTCAATAAAAAAATGTTTTAGCTATCGCAACATCACATACATCATTAGTAATAAAACATGAAAACAGTGTATAAAATGGATGATATTAAAGAAGAAACTGAATTATTATCGTTGTGAACACTAGATGGCGCAATACACCAGATTAATCTAATGAACCTTTTCCAGTTCAGAGAGAGAGAGAGAGAGAGAGAGAGAGAGAGAGAGAGAGAGAGAGAGAGAGAGAGAGAGAGAGAGAGAGAGAGCACTGGCTCTCAAAGCTTATTTCACCATCACTACATTTACATCACATTTATGCTTTTAGCAGATGTTTTATCCAAAGTGGATTACAAAAGAGGGGCAAAAACATTCATCAAAGAGCCAACAATCGTTGCATTTCATAATGTCCGGTTTATTAGATAACTACAGAGATAAACAAGAAGAAGTTTGGGTAAGCTTGTGTCCTGTGTGCTCTTTCTGTGAGATATTCTCTCCAGATTAGTTATAGTTGTATTGTTTTATCTCATATTGTGCAATCATCCCCTTCAGACATCACTTTAACCACTACTGTATCAATCCCCGACCAGACCTCAAAGAACCGTCCATATCAACAGCGGCTCGCGGTTTAGCTGGTTAGCATAGCCTTTAAAAAAGAGCATTTCGCGCTTCTAAAGCGTCTAATGCCTATATAAAAGTAACGTTTCTTGGAGGCTTTTAAAAGTGTAAGATAATCCTGTTTTTCTCAGTCTGCTGAAGGAAGTGTTAATATAGAGCATCAGTCACATGACATGATGATGGCGTTAGTGTTTGTCATGAAACAGGCTAGCGGCTGCAACAAAGCTTCTTACTCTTATGCTAATAGATCATGTTATTACTTGAACCATCACTTGTGCATGCATACATTCTTACAATGTTTCACTTGTTTTTGTCATTGACAAACCAACAGATGATGTTTTTTTTTTTTTTAAAAAGGATAACAAGAAAAGGGGAAACTTCTTTGAAAAAAAACGTCTAACAGTCGCTAGAGCTGGAAATAACTTATCCACAAGCACACAGCATTAATATGCAAATCATGGAAATACAGAGAGATGCATATGCAGCTGAACATCAGTCTTTTCTTTTCACATACACATAGTAAACTCTGATATACAGTATATCAATATTTCACATTCACGGATATCACAGAGAGGTTTTTGTCAGACATTAGCATTCTCAGTAAAACTGTTTCTCATATGAGGAAGTTTAATTGTCGCTCCTTCAACTCTCATGATTCACAGAAACACACACTCACGCTATTCACAGCTCAAGACATGCAAACACTGAGGCACATTAACCACAAACGTCCAGTTAAAACACATTCTCATGCACACACTCTCTGACCAACAGACATTCATTTGGAGTGAGCTTTATGAGTTTTCAAATATTATGAATGTATGATTGACAGGTGTGAATTATCCATTATCGACACTAAAGTTAGGAGCTTTTCTCATGGTCAGTTTTCAGTGTTTTAGAAGCAGATGGATTAATATTTTAAATGGAATTACAGTGTCAGAGAAATTTCTAAGATCACAAATAATTTAAAACATTTTTATTGTGTAGTATTGAGAAGAATTATGACAATAAAATGCCCCTTCTGTAATATATAATAGAGAGAGCTGTATTTCTCTACTCACCATAGACAGTAACAGTGAATCTGTGTGTAGACGATGAGCTGCTGCCGATGATTTCAGCTTCATAAACTCCAGCATGATTATTTGTGATGTTCATGATGGTCAGAGATCCAGTCTTCTTGTCCAGCTTCAGTCTGTCTCTGAATCTCCCATCAGGACCATCATAGATCATATTGTTCACTCCATCAGTTCTAGCTATAGCTATAAGATTCCTGTTAGGTCCAAATGTCCACTTTATCCTATCACCGTTCTGTATTTCAGTGAGATCAGAGTTTAGAGAGACTGAATCTCCCTCCATCACTGACACTGACTTCAGTTCATCTGTACCAGCAAACACTCCTGAAGAACACACAGAAACAGTCTCTCACACACACTTTCAGTTGTTTTGGTGAAGCATTTACTGAAGTTTGAAGTGATTTTGAAGTTATTGAAAAAGATGGAAAGAGTGCAGAACAGTTACTGAACCTCTTCTTATATTGTACACTTTTATTTTAGTGTTTAGAGTTACACGAGTGAATTTCCAGTGAGGTGGAAGTGAAGTTCATTAGAGCGACTACATACACAATATGCAGCTGTAAAAAATGATAAACTTGTCTAACTTACCAACCAGACAGCAACAGCACAAACAGCTGAAAGCAAATGAGTGAAACATTTTCAATAGTTCAGCGGTCTGAAAGAGTGTCAGTCAGTCTGAAAACCTGTGTGTGAGTGTGTGTGTGTGAGTGTGTGTGTCTGCAGTGAAGACGTGTAGAAGAACAAGTGTCCACAATCTGAACTATTTGCTAACTTCCTCCAGACTGAATTAGGCCACGCCCCCTGTCTCCAAACACACGCCCTCTCTGAAACCCCGCCCCAATGTTGTTTTGTTTATGCTTCTGCATCATTAGGCGATGTTTGTTTGTTTGTTTTTTCAGATATTTTAAAGACAAATCTCAGCAGTTGTTTCAATATTTCACATTCATAAATGCTTGTAGAATATACTTTCATAAGTAACATTAATACTAAAATAAAATGATAAGAATAGTTTAAAATCTAATAATTGACTTATTTTATATTGTAGCTTTCATAATTTTAACAAAAGTTTCAATTGGTCACATTTCTGACTTGTCTAGTTCAGAAATCTGAATATGAATATATAAGGTCCAAGAGCCCAATCTGACCGGACACTGATCACCATTGTGGTGACTTCAAAACAAAAACAGTGGTGAACAATTACATTTCTTACATATTGACACACACTGAAGGAAAAAATATCCATGGCAGCACAGCATGACAAACCTTTACCATTAATGAAAATTAATAAGGCAAGGCAATGCAAGTTTATTTATATAGCACATTTCATACAAAGTGCTTTACATGGAAGAAATTAAAATAATCAAAAGAAATCAGAATAATTAAAACAGTTTAGAATAAAAAAAATCATAATAATAAAAATAAAATACATTATTATAAATGAAAAAACAGTTGAAAAAGCTGAAGTAACATGAGTAAACTACTTCCAGATGTTGACTGAGCACATTAGATGAGGTCTGTATATCTCGGGAAGTTGAGTTCCTGGTCAAGAACACTAGATGGCGCTCTAGTACACTATGTGTCCTGCTTGTTGTAGGTACACACTTAGATTAATAAATCATCAAATAAATCAGCAACTACGTTTTTATTTTTACTTTATTTGTAAATTTCTTTACCACTGTATGACAGAAAGATTCTGAACCATTTTTCATTTAAAGATGAAGATAACGATGACATACCGGATAATTATTTGTCATTTATCAAAGCATCATTTGTTTTTAAAATTGTTTGTAATATCTTTAATATGAAGAATGATAATTGTGAATCTTGGCACCGTTTAGCCTGTAAGAATATGTTGTTCCCCTAGAGGTCAAATTATGTCATAGTTTAATTTTTGAGGGTGTTTACAGCTCGCACATCTAACAGTTGAAGTGAAGTGGAAACTGTAGACATCACTTATGTTTAAGATATAGAAACATACACAGAAACACAAAGTTAGATGTGGAATATTCTGACTTGATATGTTCAATGAATAAACCTTTTTTTAATGCTTCATTATCAACAAATAGCATGTACAAGAATAACTTCCATACATCAGAAAAACAGATCACATGCTTCACAATACAATATACAGTATATGACAAAAACAAAGAGAAAAGGAAAAGAGAAACAAATAAAAATAAAGAAAACACCAGTTTTAGGGTCTAAACTGTTAAGCATACATATATTTTATATGAAAATTTTAAATTATAACATATTACTGTTGTTTTGATTGCTTTGCTTTTTTTTTAGATCTCGGCATTACATCTACATTGTATAAATTAATCTCTTTCTTATTTAAGCACTGTGTTTCCCACTTGTGAATTTACATTTGTGAAAATGAAATTTACATACAAACAATTAAATAAAATTTCAAATAAGCATCCTTTGATCAATGGTTCGTAATACAATAACCTTATATATCACATATTTATAGGATAAGAGAAAAGGATACAAAATATTATCAGCAGTAAATGTCTCAATATTTTTTGAGAAACACTATCTTGGTAGGACCAAAACATTTGAGAAATGGATTCACCTTCCCCGAAAGAACATAAAAAGTAAAATTCAAATAAAAGTTCCTTCATTACTAATAAGTGACTTACTGATATCAAAACATTCCAAAACCTTTTTTATTATTATTCATGTATTTATTCCATATTGCCCATATTCCAGATAAAGAATGTGTGGGGCGGAAAGTTGTGTTTGTAAATGATCAAGTGCTTGTTTAAACATAAGTTTTTCAATATTATAATTGCACATTACAAGAAATTCCACACCACCTATGACAGAAAATATATATTGAGGGATCATATTCTTAAGTAGACTATAAAATATCATGTAAGCCAGTTAGTTTTTAAAGTATTGTTCAGAGATCTAAAGTCGATAACATTTAGACCCCCTTTATCATATGAATTTAATATTACTGATTTCTTAATGTACTGAATTTTGTTTTTCCATGTCAATTAATTTACTTACTCTTGCTTGTCTTTTAAATAATTGTGAAAAAAAAATTGAGGGGCTCCTATCATATATATATATATACTGTATACATATATATATATATATATATATATATATATATATATATATATATTTATAACTACAGAATTATTTTAACCTGCGATTCTTTCTCTTACATAAATGTTACAATTTGAGAATTCCAAACAGTTGCCAGTAGCACCTCACATTTATTGATATATTGATTAAAATTTGCCCATGATTTACTCACAAAATCAGCAACATTCACCATGAATTTAAGTAATACTCGCTGTAACCATGGAAGTTTGGCGGGAATAGTAAAACGCTTTTAAATACATCACACATCTTTTTTCCAGCCCTTTAAAACCAAAATATTATAATATGTTTTTTTAAGTAATTTGTATTTATATTGTTTTAAAAGTTTAACATGACCTACTTTAGTGCTGTATTTTAATGTAGCTAAAGTTCAGATTCAATTCTTTAATGGGCCGCTTTATTTACGATCATCATGTTGCCATTTAGAAATGCTGGACCGCTGGTCCTCCTCTTGTGGATCTGATGTCATAAACCAGAATCGCCACAGTAGCCACGCCCACCAGTGCAGCGACGACTAATCGGATGACAGTTTCAGTAAAACCACAACAGTGGATGTGGACTTCTAAAAAAAGGCAATTTTCAACAAGACAACTTTAATTTCTGTAAGGAACTCCAAACTGCATAAATATACAGGTACTGTTAATGTGATAAAAACTTTCCCAGTGTTAAAAAAAATAGGAAAAATATGGGGGATTTTCTTTCTTTTTCTTTTTTTTTTGTGAATTACACAGTGTGAATCATTGTATGGAATAAATAATCACATGTATGTGCTTGTATGTCACATCACATGTATGCTGCTGTACCTGCACATGTGTTACAGAGTTGAGTTGAGTCTGGTTGTGAAGTAGACTGACCGTCCAGTTCTGTAATGATACAGAAAGAAGTATCACATCAGTGTGATCTACACCAGAAGACAGAGATCAGGTCAGTAAACACACACACATATGTGTTTGTATGTATGTCTGATTGTTAAATAAAAAATAAAATAAAAAATAAAAATAAAAACACACACACACACATATCTGATGAGTGGTGCTGTACCTGCACATGTGTGTCTGCAGAGTGTGTTGATGTCCAGATGTGTGGTCTGGTTGCTGATGGGATTGTTCAGCACACAGCTGTAGGTGTTTTTATCCTGATATTCCACCTCCAGAGGTAGAGAGAGACTGATGCTGAGATCACACACACTGATGCTGGACAATACACTCATTCCTGCGTACCAGGACAGAGTCACATCACACACACTCAACACTGATGATGAACACACCACTGAACATGATGATGATGAAGAATTATCTCTTGTAATTTTAGGAACAGGAAGAGGGGCTGGAAAACATAAGAGAATAGAGATACATATGGAAATGTTTAAACATTTTTTGATAGTTAAAGTTCACCCAAAAATTACTTTTTTGTCTTCAGTTGAACAGTAAAGAAGATTTTTAGCTGAAACCGTGGTCCTCTGTGATTAATTTAAAAGTAGCGCTCATCCAACCCGATCTCACGACCAAGTCGTACGAATTCGACGAATGATTAAAAAGTGGCTAATTCGTAACAATTCATACGACCTCACTCGTACGAATTAATAAGATTTTGCTAAATCGTACATATTTTACGAATTGGCCAATTCGGATGAATTCATACTGACCTACCCCTTACCCCGCCCCTAAACTTAACCATCACGTGGGTTTAGACAAATCGTACGAATTAGTACGAGTGAGGTCGTACGAATTAGTACGAAATAGACACTTTTTAATCATGCGGCGAATTCTTACGAATTGGTCGTGAGATAGTGTTTCACAATGTTTCACTGCATACCCTGCACGCATACATCATTATGCGACAGGAAGGCTGTAGATTACAGGTTAAAAAATTTTAAATAATGTTCAGTCATTAATTACTCACCCCCATGCTGTACCAACCCCGTAAGACCTTCGTTCGTCTTCGGAACACAAATGAAGATATTTTTGATTAAATTTGAGAGCTGTATAACTACCACATTGGCTCCTAAGGGACTGCCTCTTGACGGCCCAAAAAGTCAATGAAGAAAATGTTTAAATATCCCAAGTGACTACCGTGGCTCAACTATATGTTTATCAAGCGACGAGAATACTTTTTGTGCGAAAAAACAAACAAAAATAACGACTTTATTCGACTATTTCTTTTCTTCCTTGTAGGCCAGAACGAGACTTCCTTATAGATTTCCACGACGCATGCGCGAGAATTGCGATCTAAGCTGGTGTAAGCTGGTGTGAGCAGATCGCAATTCTCGCGCATGCGTCGTGGAAATCTAAGGAATTCTCGTTCTGGCCAACAAGGAAGAAAAGAAATAGTCGAATAAACTCGTTATTTTTGTTTGTTTTTTCGCACAAAAAGTATTCTCGTCGCTTGATAAACATATAGTTGAGCCACGGTAGTCACTTGGGATATTTAAACATTTTCTTCATTGACTTTTTGGGCCGTCAAGAGGCAGTCCCTTAGGAGCCAATGTGGTAGTTATACAGCTCTCAAATTTAATCAAAAATATCTTCATTTGTGTTCCGAAGACGAACGAAGGTCTTACGGGGTTGGTACAGCATGGGGGTGAGTAATTAATGACTTAATTTTCATTTTTGGGTGAACTAACCCTTTAAGACCTCAACGTATCGTCAGGAGACACGGGCATTTGTTCTGTCTGCATTTTTTTTTAAATCTCAAAGATGGACCGTAACAAAGTACATTTACTTGAGTATTTTTTAAAAGTTTTCTTGAAACTTTTTACTTTAACTTCATTACATTTGAAAGACAAATATCATACTTTTTACTCCACTACGTTTCTGTCAAGCTCCTTGAGTAGAAAGCAACGTCATTCATGGGTTGCATTTTGGTTGGAAATGAAAGTCGGGTTGACATCAAAGCCAAAAAATAGGGCATGTAATTGAGGGAACAGCCATTTGGGTGTCCAAAACCAATGTGGACGTTATTGAGTGCACTTATTCAATCTCACATTTAATCCCACTACTGGAACTGTGTTCTAGAAATAAATGTGATATTGATATGAGGGTAGGTAGGCATAGATTCAGAGGCATACGGTATATTACACACAGGTCAATTCAAGTAATGAGAACTTAATTAACAGAACAAGATTGTGACTCTACTCACCATAGACAGAAACACTGAATGATTTTGATGATCGTTTCGCTCCACTTATCTGTAGTCTATAATCTCCAGTGTGTTCAGTTGTGGTGTGTGTGATGGTCAGAGATCCAGTTTGATCGTCCAGCTTCAGTCTGTCTCTGAATCTCCCATCAGGAACATCATCATATGTGGTGAAGATTTGCTTTTCTAAACTGATTTTAACTATCAGAGAGTTTCCAGCTCCATATTTCCACAGTATGTCGTCGTCTGCACGTATTTCAGTAAGATCAGTGTTTAGAGTAACAGAATCTCCCTCCATCACTGACACTGACTGTATTTCATTTGTTTCAGAAGAAAAGACACCTGTAGACATGAACAGATTAAATCTCATTTTGGTTTATAATGCCTGAAGTCAGTTGTAATTTGTAATGTTAGAACTGAAGAACATCCAGAAAATGATTTGTTCATAATTATTGCAAATTTAGAATACTAATAATAATACGCTTAAAATCGGCTAGTTAGATAATATGCTGTAATGTAATGGAAAATAAATAAAATTAAAATATTTTTGAGAACAAAATAAAAATAAGCAAATAATAATAATAATTCTATGACTGTGGGACCATGTGCACCTACACAAACACAAACCTGATTCTGAAGCAGAACTCATATAATGTTTGACTTAATTCATCTGTGAAGAATTGCAAATTAAAATGATCTCAGCTTTTTACTGATATTAAGCCATAAAAATGCATTTATAACTTACCAATCAGACTCCACCAACACAAACAGAACAAAACAAACATGTGAAACATTTTCTTCAGCAGTTCAGTCGGTGGAAAGTCTGATCTAACAAAACTATCTGCTGAAAACACTCAGTCTGTTCATCTGGTGTGTGAATCGTCCCACAACAGAGTTTTACCCGCCTTGGTCTCATTAACACACACACACACACACACACACACTGGTTCGTCATCTATGTGGGGACTCTCCATATAGGCTTAATGATTTTTATAGTGTGCAAACTGTGTATTATCTCCCTTCTACTAACTCTACCCCTAAACCCCCATCATATTCACACAAAACTTTCTGCATGATTTCAAACACTGTTTAGTATGCTTAAGTAAGCCATTTGTTTTTTTTTTTTTTGAGGACACAGGATGTGACCTCAAAGCATGTCACTATACACTCTCTCTCTCTCTCTTTCTCTCCTGGATCGTATTAAAATTTACTTTTTAATGGTTGAAACCATACTTAATTTTTATCATTTAATATTGATAGTATCCTATCATATTACAATATAGCTGATTGATTTTATAATGGTTGTAATAAATCAGTTCTCAGTTGTCGTGAATGGAAAAAACAAGCAAACAAAAAATGTTAAACGTGTACCCGTTTTGACACAATGTGGCACTAGCAGCTCATCTGAGTCAAACTGAAACCTACTGTGGTTTGAGTTCTACAGAAATGTGGTCTGACCTGTTGGGTGGACAAACAGCTGCATTGGCAGTGCAAGTGTGTTTTAGTTTGTAGGTGAAGCTTCCTGCTGTAATGAACCTCAATCACAGTCTAACTAACATTTGCATTTATTCATTTAGCTGATACTTTAATCCAAAGTGACTTACAATTGCTATATATGTCAGAGGTCGCACGCCTCTGGAGCAACTAGGGGTAAGACACATTGGTGTCTCACAGTGGATTCGAACCCGGATCTCTCACACCAAAGACATGTGTCTCATCCACTGCGGCATCACCACCCCCTACCACCACTTCCTCGCTAGAACAAACTGCTTTAAAGTACTGAATCAATCCATCAAAACTGATCTATAAAAACAATCAAATAAATGTCAGAGGTCATACGAGATTCATACCCACGAGTGACAGCAGATGTTATCACAAAACTAATAATAACTGTGAAGGCCAGTATCCTGTCAACACGCTTGAAGTAAGTTTAAGCCATTTATTTATATCGAGATTTTAACCAAAGAGAGAAAAGAAAACGAAAATGTACAAAGCCACCTTCTTCTAAGGCTGACTACTAAATCCCCTTAAAGGGATAGTTCACTTTAAAAATTAATTTTTGATATGTTTTATCTTACCTCGAGGGCATCCAAGATGTAGGTGTCTTTGTTTCCACAGTATTTTTAATTTTAATATTTTTAGGTTAAACTTTTTCACAGTCAGTTTGATTGTGTAGTCTTTGTCAGTCTGTGTCACACTGTTTACACAGAGATTTCAGAAGTGTTACCTTTCACTGTGAAGATCTAAACATATTTACGGTAGATATACAGGAAATTGCAATGGAAGACGATTTCAATATATCAACAGACAAAGTTGAGCCTTCAGATCACTTGAACAGGTGTTATACCACCCATTTAAAAACTTAATTTTCACAACAGGGGGACATTAAGACAAATGTGTGGGCCTCATTCTAATTTCCATTCTTTTGAATGTTGTCTCAAGTACACACCCACAGGGACACCCACACAGGTAAATACATGGACTGTATCAGGAAATGAATACATTGTAACACTGGAAACCACATGGGGAAACGGTTGTCAGAAGAAACATGACAAAAAAATTTTTTTTTGTTAGTTTGTTCCCAGTGTTTGCCCTCCTCATGCACGGTAAGATGTTTATTTTTAAAATCTCTTTTCTGGTCAGCAAGAAAAACTCATTTCGAAATAGTCATCATAAACATTTAGACATGTTTTCCTGTTCAAACCACCCTAATCTGCTGTGCTGGTTTTAGTTTGTTTTCTGGTTAAGTTGTTACTGTAAAAAGCATTGAATGACAGTTCAAATATATATATATAGTATAGTATAGTTAATAAACAATTAATTAGCCATATAAATCAATAAATGTAACTATATAATGTTCTGAAATGATACACTGCAAAAAATGGCAGCTGTAGTTGCCAGAACTTTACCATCAAAAATACGGTAGCAACATTAATAGTTTTACAGACTTGACCTTAAAATTTACAGTAATAAACCATGTCATTATCTGATCATGTTAATTTACCAGCCTATTGAAGTATTGATATGTGCTTTGTACCATTGTAATACACTGACAACCAACAATCATCACAGTAATGATGACGATGAATCGAAGCAGTTCTTCCACAAGAAGGATTATGGAAAAACTATGAGGAAGTTATTTCAACAAAAATACATCAAATGTGAAGTCACAATTCCGGTTTACTGTTTTTCACTGTAAATTATACAACGAGTTGTTCTTTTTCACTTTCAAAAAGTTTTTTGTACGTTTAATGGTATTTTACAGTAAAATTTTACAGTATTATTTTTACAGTGTATCACACTAATAATGAAAACTTAAAAAAAAAAACTGTTCATAGCCCAATTCCCTATAGTACAAAGCTTCAAAATAATAATATATTTTGAATATTTTTTGCAGTTTAATGGGTATAAATGGATGCAATATTAACAGTAATAATAATAACTAAAATAAACAAAGAAATTAAAGGAAGAAATAAATCTCAAAACAAGCCTTGTGGGAATAATAATCTGAGTATTTTGCATTGGGTTTGATACCTTTAGGTCAAATGGTCTTGGAGTTTAATGGCTTTAGAATACATACATTTAATGTTTTAAATTATAAAATGTATATTCCCCAGAGTCTTGTGCTATAAAATGGATATTTTGTCACATTTTACTTCACTATTGAAAATGCCATACAGTTAAATTGTTTAATTGATTTTGAAGTATGGAAGTAAAATAATGCTTAAATGTTTTTGAAACAAAAATAGCTTGTTGAATGGCACTACAACATGGTTGAATATTTATGTGAAGCTTCAAACAAATTTATATTATTAAAAAAAAAATCTATAATCCATATTCACCTTTCATATTTCACTTCCAAAATATTCAACCTGTTTAACCTATAATTTTCAAAAGCCAATTTTCGGCCAATTTAATTTCGCTTTACAAATCTGCTTCCACACATCCAGTGGTTCAAATTCGACAGTAAATTCAACTTTAACATCCAGGTACTGCAGGAAAAGCAGTAGATTACCGAGCATAATCTAAGTCTGCTGTTAGTCAACCTCACCAGCGGGGGGGCGCAAGCGCGTGTTGTTGACGAAGACCAGAGCAACAGATAGTGCATTTATTCATAAAAAGCTGATTTATAGAAATGTAAGTGTATATTGTTATTATTATGAGGGCTTTTTATGTTTGAGAGAGAGAGATTTTTTTTATTTTTATTTTTTTGCCGATATGCATTCTACTTGGTTTTATGAATTCAGTAATACAATATATTTATTACTGAATTCATAATATATGTTTGATATGCAGTGAATCAGTGTGGTTCTTCTGCTGTTTATTTGCATGTGCTATTTTGGCATTTTTGTTGTATTTCCTGTTGTATATTTTTATCTCACTATCTCAGACATGATTATGATTACTGTTTATTAATTCTCCAGGTGTTTCTGATGTTGAGAAAGTGTCGGTGTCAGTGACGGAGGAAGATTCAGTCACTCTAAACACTGGTGTTACAGCAAACCAGCAAGAGAAGATTAGATGGTATTATAATGACATTCGCATCGCTGAAATCACTGGAGATCTCAGTAAGATCTGTACAGATGTTCAGTGTAATGAAGGCACTGAGAGATTCAGAGACAGACTGAAGCTGGATCATCAGACTGGATCTCTGACCATCATGAACACCAGCACCGCAGATGCTGGAGCTTATCATCGAGAGATCATCAGAAACAGCACAATCTGTGAAAAGATCTTCATTATTGCTGTTCATGGTGAGTCATTTAACTCATGTTTCAAGCAGGTTATATGAGCAATATCACACACGTATAGCAGTGCGATATCAGCACGGCTTCATTTGTGCTAACTGAGCTGAAGCTGTGCTGACTTGAATGAACAAGTTTGAATACTAGTGCTTATCAAATGACAACATGGTCTCTAGGCAATGAGAAATTAAGAGAATAGTGTTTATAGTTCAGTGAAATGAGTGTGCTTTTTGGCATTGTGGTTTTGAAATTTGAGTTCAAAGGCCTGGTTACAGTGTTTAAGCAATCTAGAAAAACCAGCCTGGTCTCATCCCCCAAGGCGTCATAGGTGACGCTTTTGACATTGCATCTACGTCCGATGCATATGGCACCCAATAGCGTCAATATGAGACACAGATATATATGGGCCAGAAGGCGCCTCCTAGTGGTCTAACCTGGGGTGGGGAAAAAAATCGATACAGCATAGTATCGCGATATTTTCTGTCGCAATACTGTATCGATACACGGACGCCAAGTATCGATTTTTATTTTATTTTTTGCATATTTAATTATAAAATTATCTGTTTTACTTTCCGGGTTTCATGATTTCTCTATTTTTCACTGCTTGAGAACATAGGTTGAATCCGAAATCGCCCCCTAAACCCTCATTCACTAAGTTAGACTTATTCCCTAAGTCCACTAATACTGTTTATGTCACGGTGCGGGTGCAGGCAGAGAGACAGGCTGAGTCCAAAAGGTTTCAATACAACAGGTTTACTAAAGATAAAGTTCCGATACAGGCAGGAAGACTGGGTAACACCACATAACATTAAACATCGACCGACCAAGACTGACTAAAACAGAGGGAACTAAATACACTGAAGAATCAAACATAATGAGGTGAAGACAGGTGAAACAGATGAACAGGACGCTGAACGGGAGGCTGATGAGGGAGTGAGTTCAGGTGTGCAGACAAGAGGATCATGGGAAGTGTAGTGCTGGAGACGCAGACAGGATGGTGCAGACGAAGACTGTGACAGTTTACTTGAAGAAGTGAATGAAAACGAGTGAGCGAATTTGGAAAGCCGTTGAGCGTAAGCTGTAGGCTACACGTTAATGCAGTGCAATGTGGGTGAGAGATGCGATCTGACACGCGTCCCATTTTCTCACAAATGTTCATTTAAGACTTTATTTAAATCATTTTAGACAACTCTTATGAGGACGTTTGACAAAACGGACATTTTGGCATAATTTGTGTGTGTAATGATTTGTTCAAGCCCGAAAGAGAACTCGATACTGACGCGCGTCTGTTCTGTATCTCTCTCTCTCTCTCTCTGTGTGTGTGTAATACAGGCAGGATTGAACGGATACTGCGTAATTGCGTAAAAAAAAAGTTTGTTCTTGCATTGATGAAACCCGTGTTGCGACTGCACACGTAATATTCAGAGAATAATTACGTCCTGTCCTGTGTCCTGAATGTTCAAGAACAAGTTTTTGCACTTCAGTTAATGTGTAGAAGATAATGTTTATAGAATTTAATGTGACATTTAATTAAACGGAGTTGGGCAGTCTTATTTTGCTCATATTTTGTGATGTCTTTGAATAATATGGGGAACATGAATCGCAATATATTGCTTGTATCCAATAATATTGAATCGTGGCCCAAATATCGCGATACTATCGAATCGTCACATTGTTGCCAATTCCCACCTGTAGTCTAACCCTAACCCTACCCCAGACCTAAACCTACCCATACCCATAAGCGTGTTATATTGACGCTAAAGGGTGCCACGTGCGTCGGATTTAGATGCAATGTCAAAAGCGTCACCTATATGACGGCCTAGGATGAGAACGCGTTAGAAAAACTGTTATTGTAATTAGGAATTGTGAATGCGCTCTGGCGATATTCGCACTAAATTATTTTCTGACTGGGAACCAGCGAGCTTTTCGCCCAATTGATTGTGAGACCCAGTTTCTCGAGGTGTTCGAGTAACATGGTCCTGTGTTCTATGAGCTCTGACTGAGATCCAGCTCGAATCAGCCAATGGTCCAAGTAGTTTAAAACTCGCATGCCCTGAAGTCTCAGGGGTGCGAGAGCCGTGTCGTCATAAATGAACGGGGTGCAAGCGACAGGCCGAACGGTAGGACTGTGTATTGCTATGCCTGGCCCTCGAAGGCAAATCTCAAGATTCGCCTGTGACGTGATGGTATTTCTATGTGGAAATAAGCGTCCTTCAGATCTATCGACATAAACTAGTCCCCTTGGCAAATCTGCGCGAGGATTTTCTAGAATGGGTCTTTTTTCGGTAACAGAAAATATCTGCTGTACAGGCCCCCTGTACCAAGGGCGGGGTAGCTTTTTTTTTTTTTTATAAAGAAGTTGTTTCAAGTTCAGTTGAAATGGCTCGTCCTGCAGAAGGCTTTTCAGACATTGCAGCTTCTCACTCTATATGCAGCGATGCGAGAGATTAAAAACCAGTGATATCAGCCCATCAAGCTATATTTACATGGCTAGGCCACGCCTGCTTTGGATGTGACTCAGTGGGCGTGAAGCGCTCCCATTGGACCATCACCAATGCGCCACTCTCGATAGGCTGCTGCAGTTGACGCAGGACTGCCAATAGGCAAGCTAAGCTGCCTTGCCTATGTCTGCATGCTGCCGCGACGCGTTTTACATTAAAATTAAGGATAAATTTTGGGGTTCAATGGGCTCTATGCACGGCGTTATTTCCGGTGAAGCATTAGGGATGCTCGATAACTTCCGCCGATCATAGAGTCCAATGCAATACCGAGAATTTATATTGAATTTTATACTCCATGGTTATACTAATGAAACGTTAGTCACAAAAACAGATAAAACAGACAACCCTCGTTGTGTTTATGCTTCTTTTTAAAATTATTTTAAATAAACATAACTATATATAAAATTACATCTAAACGTATGTACGTTTCGTTTCAAAGACGGGAGGAGAGTAAATATTGAAGACTCTGCCATAATCCCGTTTTCTCCGGTTTTCCTCCGCTTTAATCTACACAACCGGAAATGGACGAGCATCCTTACGTCAAATGCGGAACTTATGCGTGCATATAGCCCATATCCCGAGGAAGAGAGATTTTCCTCTAGCGTAAGATTTACGCAGCATGACAGAACCTCTTCTAGAGAGAACCGAGGTTACGTTAGTAACCAAGTACGTTTTATGCTCTGTTTCTTTTTGTTTAGCAGGAATGCAAAGTGAAAAGGATTTAATATGAATAAGCACGTAAACTGTGTTTGCAAGCCCAAAATGTGGATAAAGTCACAAGATCACAATTTTATTTTTCAAAACGCTCCTAGACTAGTAATATTATAATGCAGTAATTGATTTCTTATTGTCCAGTTTTCTTCAGCATCTGTTGGTTTGTGTTTCAGGTGTTTCTGCTGCTGAACGAGATAAAGTGAAGAGAAAGACAGTAAAGGATGGAGAATCTGTCACTTTATACACTGGTGTAATAAAAAACCCAAGTGATGTGATGATGTGGTATTATAATGACACTCTCATCGCTGAAATCTCTGGAGATCAGAGTCAGATCTGTACAGATGATCAGTGTGAAGAGAGATTCAGAGAAAGACTGGAGCTGGATCATCAGACTGGATCTCTGACCATCACACACACCACAAACACACACTCTGGAGAATATACACTACAGATCAATAACAGCAGATTCAGCATCACTAAGATCTTCAGTGTTTTTGCCAACGGTGAGGATTGTTGAGTCATTAAGTAGCCTACATTTTCTCATGAACAGGTTTACAATAGTTAATATTTGTTATTCTTGTGGCATGTTTGAAAAACGAGCTATTACTCAATATTAAACTATGTCTATCTCCTTTGCAAGCATGATCATATTCACATGTTTTGTCACTATCACAACAATCACATGGTTATGCAACAAAAATAACCACATATATCGATTGTGTCTAAAAAAATCGATTTTAGGGATGTTATTTAAAAGTTAATATTGTTAAAATGAATAAAATGAATATTGAAAAAAATAATAAAAATTAATTAATGATTGATTAAAATGAAGATTATACTAGACGAGTATATACAAACTAAACATTTTAGTATGGATACCTGTTACACATATTTTAAGCTGGATAGTTATATTTGAGGTATGAAACTTTTTATTAACCTCTTACATGTCTTAATATCAAGGAAGGTTTGATTTTCCATTTCATGACGCCTTTAAATTACAAAAACTGGAAAGCGTAACAACCCTGAATCTCTGAAAAAGCTTGTGTGAAAGTTTTCCTTTATAATTTATTCACATGTACACTCAGATTTGCTGATGTTTTATAATGTTTGTTACAGATCAGACTAATGACTATCTCCCATTTATTACAGATTCACATGTAGAAACTCCACTGCATCTTCGTTCAGGTGTCAGAATTATAGAAATATGTAGTTATGTATTCCTGGCACTGCTGGTCGTGACTTTAGCCGCATGCCTGTTTTACTATCTTTATAGGAACCGCAATCAAAACAGACAAAAGTGTAAGTATTTCAGCTGACAGTTACTGTAGTTTTGTACATCAGTGATGCACAATGAAATATAAGTAGAAAAATATTACAGACGGCACTTGTGCTGTATTCTGCTTTAGATTGATGAACTATAAATATACGTGTATATAGTTTTTAACACCCATTTTTTTAACAGTATGACTATTTTTGATCAAATAATGCAGCCTGGTGAACATAAGAATATTTGTAAAACATTTTCATAAAAAACTACGGAAAAATCACATTGACCCAAAACTTTTGAAATGAATATATATATATATATATATATATATATATATATATATATATATATATATATATCGTATCAATTCCGTTTCAGTATTTTTCAATAATTCAACAGTCATTTATTCTGTTTCCACTTTTCTTTTCTTGTTTCTGTATTTCAATACATTTTTCATGCTTTTGCTCTTGTGTATAGATCTAGCTTATTAGTCATTTTAGAGCTAGTAACAGATCACTAGTGGAAAATTGTATTTAATTGCTTGATAAAAGTACCACTACACTGAAAAATGTAATGTAGGTTTGAAACTATTAAATGAATAAGTTTGTTGTTTAATGGTCAGTAAGTGATGATCTGCTGTGATTTTGTTCCTCTCTCTCTTATTGTTAGTTGTCTTCCTCTGATTTTGCAGATCGAGTGGGGATAGATTTGAAGATTGAGGGACAGTCTGTCTTTCTACACACTGGTATTAAAATACAGAAAGGTGATCACGTGAAGTGGATGTTTGGAGATAAAAACTTTCTCATAGCTGAAATCACAGAAGAGACACAGAAGAGAAGAGAGTTCAATCTATATGATGATGCTGCAGATGAGAATTTCTTAGACAGACTGGAGCTGAACAAGAAGACTGGATCTCTGATCATCAGGAATAGCAGAGACACCGACTCGGGAGAATATAAACTACGAATCACCAGAAATGGAAAATCCTCAACCAAGAGATTCAGTGTTACCGTCTCTTGTGAGTAATTCAAATCTTTCAATGGACTATGAATTTGTATAAGATTAATCAGATTAATGTGTAAAAAAAATAATTGTAGATACTATCGAAGCCCTAAATCAGTCCATGAGCGTGCACAACTCTGGTTGCAGTTTCGCTTGTCGCCTGAGGGGGCGTAGTTTTGCAAAAACTTAAAGACTTGCACAATGCACCTTTAATATAAGAAATATATTTATATTGTTTTAATGCATTCTTTCCTGTTCATTTGTGCAACATATTTTATTGGTCAGAAAATCTTCACCAATTACATGCACTGCTCATTATAATTGTGTTTGTTTTGTTTGTGTTTTCCTTTAGGCTCTTCTGAACCCATAGTAATTCTATCTGATCAAATTGAGTTCCCTGAAATCAAAGTGCAACCACTTCAGTATGTATGAATCCACCATGTATGTATACCTTTGGATGAAGCTCTATGTTTAATAACTTGTGTGCTCACACTGATTTATAGATCAACCCTAAATCTTCTTTATTATAATCCAAGTATTTGCACAGTGTGTGATTTAGGGCTGAACATATTAACCTGAATGTCACATGTTTGAGTATGTCACTTGTTCTTCTCCAAATATTAGTTTAGACATACAGTATTAAAAGTGTGTTTAACAGACGCGTGATTTAAAACCACATTTAGCCTGCATCTTTCTCTGCCTGAATCTGATGTGAAAGTTTTTTTTCTTTGCAGAAGTTATCTGCAAGTTTGAGTTTGTATTTTATTTTCTGTTTGATTTTTATTTAACACAGTCGTCTTGGGATGAGACTGCGCTGTTTTATTTCAATCTCAGTGCCTTGGTTTTTCATGATACCATGTTGAAGATATAATGACTATATAAAGTTATCTTTATCTTTCCACTCCTTTCACATTGTTTAATTATTGATGATATGCCTGTTGCCCCCCTTTCCTGTCTGTCTGTTTGTTTGAGTGGATGTTATTTTATTTCTAAAGTCAATAAGGAGTTGATCACATAAAAAAAAAAAAATTGAACCAGGAGAAGTGGCTGGTATTATCCTATGAAATTAGAGACAATGTGCTAATTATGGTTAAAATAATTAAATATAAAATATTTAAATGCAAATATAAATTGATTGATAAAAACAATGAAATTAAAATTACTTAAAAAGAAGGGAAACTCTGGCCTAAGTCTTCTGTCTGATCTCACTTATTTTCTTTCTTCTTTCATTTAGTTTAATTATATGTGTTACTATTATTTGTGTTTGATGCATTGGGATGGGATTTTTACACAGAGATTGTTATGTCTATTAGTAAAATCTGTCGATTTTGCACGTTTTGACGTTGTTGCATTACTGTATGCCAACAGTGACAGTTCAAAAATGGCACTTGTGTTTTTCCCCTAAATGTGCATGCTTGTAAAGATGTATTAAAATATCTTAATATCCTTTTAGTTTTTTGTTCTTAACAAACTTTTCTTTTGGTATCTTAATTTTGAAGGCGCTATATATTTTAATTCCAGAAATACTGGGATTTCAAAGTAAGTCAAATTGTACTAATTTTTAGTGGTCAAAACCAAATGTGGGTCACTTTGCACACAGCTGATACTCTACTGATACTGTGAATTTCTTTTAAAAGGGGGCTCAGCCTCAATTCACAATAATGTACGACTTGTGCTTGGCATGTTGGATTATAATTATTGAATTGTAGATTTAATAATGATTTAGTAGTACCCAAACATATAAACAACCCAGTGTCACATGTATGTCCTGTGTTTTCCCCATTCTTTGTGTATTTGGTTCAGTCCTGTTTCCATTTTCCCATTCCTTGTTAGTGTTTAGTTAATTCACCTGTTTACCTACCTGTCATTATCAGTTCATTTGCCCCAGATAGGCCTATCTATGTCTTGTTTTCTCTGATCTGTTCTCTGTGTGTTTCAGTCTGTTCCTTGTGTAACAGGGTTAAAAAGAACCTTTGATTTAAAATTTTGTGTGAATTTCATAAAATAAGGCATTTGGGTGTATTCATTGGTGTTAGAAGGCTCCCCTCCTGTGGCTATTAATGGTACTGCAGATATTTGATTTTGTCGCTCTTCTCTTGCCGTACCACAGCAGATTCAAGTGTCGACGCTGTGGGTATGTATGGTTTTTCATGCTCTGACGCATTAACAAATTAATTGTGAAAATGATGCGTTTCAAGTGAATCTTTTTGACTTAATACATTGCATACATATATGTGAACATATGGATAATGCATTTTGCACTTTAACACGATTGTTGAGAGTTTTATAAGATGTATTGAATTTACATGTGCGTCACATGTGCGAGCACGGATTCATTTCTTGTGATTATTGCGTCTGTCTTAACTATCTGACGATTTTTTGTATTATGAGTTAATTGAATGTGTAATCTTTATCTTTCTAGTCCATATGAATGTCTGCAGTCTGTCATCAGCCACAATGTAACTTTTCTTTCTTGTTGTTTCCAAAAAAAGGTATGTTGCTTTCGTGTTTATTCTATTAACAAATGTTATTTGACAATTAATGAAGATTTACGGATGTTGTCTGCTATTAACTATTCTGTACATTTACATTGGTGTGCTTATTATGAGTATTATGTTAAGTTTTTCACATTGTATATCAATACTGTGTTCAATGTGAATAATACTATTGACAGCAGATTCAAGTGTCGACGCTGTGGTCCATATGAATGTCTGCAGTCTGTCATCAGCCACAATGTAACTTTTCTTTCTTGTTGTTTCCAAAAAAAGATAAACTGAAGCTGAATCCCATTTGTGAGTGTCCTTTCACATCCGTTACACTTGTCTGTTGTTGTTACTATATGCTTGGTTGTTCTACTGGTTCCTGGATATCTGAACCTGCTTCAACCAAGCCTGTGACACCCAAAAAGACTCGGAGCCTGCATCTATCCACAAGTTTCCTACGCCCCATGAGGCCTTGCGTCAAAAGTGGGCGCGACTTCCGGTTGGAAGTAAACAAAGCACGATTTGACATGCTTGACACTCGTTCATTCAACAGTTGACAGTCATTCAAGTTATAGCGATCCAAACTAGCTAACGATGTGTGAACATAATCTCAACGAAATTAAAAAGGGTGAAATAACAATACCTTTACCCTCCACAGTAGTTGATTGGGAGTATTATAATAACATTATTAATAATCAATACTCATCAAGGCATGGTGACAGACAGATGTGCGAGCTGACAAACAATTAAAATAAAAAATACACACTAGTCATTGTGCTTTGGAGTTTATTCAAAATTATAAATGAATGTGCTGCTTGAATACATTAACTGGCACATTTGGTATTCTGTCAACACAGGCTTTGATCCTGAGTTTAGGTGCAACATCAGTAACTTAGAGAACAGCCAAACACATGCTGATAAAAGTTTATAGAATATTAAGAATTTAAACAAATGTACACAGGAAGATTGAAACTTGTGGATAGTCCCCCACCGAGAGTCCCGCATTCTCAGACCCCTCGTTTTTCGAACACAGCGCCTCCTGCTGTTCGAAAGATCGTGCTACTAAACCATGAGTTTCCTCATTGTTTTAGCCAAATCTACATTGGGTGTTTGACTTCAGCTGGATTGAACCGGTGAGATTTCCTGCATTCAGTTGAGGAGGAACTTAAAACAGAGACTTTAAGTCAAACAAGTTCTGCTTCCTAGAGATGTTTTGCGTAGGCGTAGGCTCACAGAGATAAAAAAAAAAAAAAAAAGCCACAACGATTTTCATGAGACTTTCATTCAGTACTTTGTTTATTGGTTAAAACAGCGCTTGTACGTGCAAGAATACAGTTCAACATGAGACTATGAATACCAATAAAGTGGTGCTACATATTTTATGAGTTTTATTTTGATAAACATGACTCAATGTTACATTAAGATAAGGCTACATTAAATAAGTTTTTACTGTTAGTCAATATTGGCTGCGTCTGAAATCGCATATTTCCCAATTCTATAGGCAAAAAACAGTATGTGACAAAAGAAGTCTGAGTAGCCTACTCAAATAAGAGGGGGCGTGGCTTTCTGGAGAAACGAATGAAACAATGATAGATTAAATTGAGATTTTCAACAATCGTACTTTAGTCTTTCATGAATTTAAAAATGTCTAATTTTCTACTTATAAAAAACAGTAATAATTAAGAACAGTTTTAAAAAAAACATGAGATGACAGAAGCCCATTCATCGTGTCTGACATCTTATAAAATCCAGATGAAATCAACACATTAGTGAATTAATGTGATTAATATAATCAGTGCTGCTGTACCTGCAGATGTGTTAAAGAGTTGAGCTGTGACTGGTTTTGAAGTAGACTGACTGTCCATTTCTGTAATGATGAAAAAGCCTCAGGTCAACAGAAGACTCAGGTCAGTAAACACACACACACACACACACACACATACAGTATATCATCAGTGCTGCTGTACCTGCACATGTGTGACAGAGTGTGTTGATGTCCAATAATTGAAAAGACTCTGTTGACTTCTTGAGATTTTGTTCAGTAATTTGTCTCTGTACAGGCCGCCATGCTAGATTTGAGTTGAATGTTGTTATTTGTCCTAGAAGTTGCCAGCGTGATTACTGAAATGTTCTCTTCATGTATTCTCAAATGTCTGTATTTGATATGTGAATGCAGTAACAGTGCTTGCTCATTCAGCCTGACTTCCAGAAATAAAATAGGGACTTGTTTTGTGTTTGGGCAGTCTCAGTTTTCACGAAAACCAGACTGAAACTTCACTTCTGAAAACATTATTTAGCTGGTTCGCAACAAACTTTTCTAGAATTTTAAAGGTGGGTGGGATTTTAGGGTGGGACCTTGAGTAATTTATGGGGCCCTAGTAAAACACACACAAACTGATGTATGTGTAGCCAGTGAGAGGCCAGGAGTGTTTTTGAGCAGGCACCTGAAGGGAGGCCTATAGAGAGAGGTCCAATTTTTTGTCTGGACCAAGATGGCAGCACATCCTCGTGTGTTGGTGCACAGATTCGGTCTGGGTGAGTGTTAAGCGAATATTGGCTGTTTGGTTTTATATTACAAAGCTTTTATTCACTGAATTAGATGTTTTAAATGCAGACACAAACTCTGTGTTGTACACGTCCATGTTTGTTTGTGTGTGAGCATGATCTGGTGAGCAGGTGGACTAGAAAAACAGAGATTGTTTTGTTTCATATTTATGAAGTCTTGTTTTACTAAATTAGGGAAATGTTTCTAATGCAGACGCAAACATTGTGGATTTGTAGGCCGGTTGGCACGTCCATTCCTATTTTAATCTTGGAAATTTGAGGATTTTATTCAATGTTTGTGAGCGTCTTGATTTATTTTTCTAATGAGATTGTAAAAAGTACGGTTTGTGGTTATTGTTGGGTATTGTTAATTGTGTTTTTGTATTAGGTTTAGTTGATCGCTGTTCCTCTTGTGTTTTAGTTTGATTCCTCGGCTAGCCAGTACCATGTGCGCGCTGTATGCCTCCAGCACAATCAATGCGGTATGCATGTGAATCGGATTGGCAAGTAGGGAGTTTTGAATTTTTTTTTTAGTTAAGTTAAAGGGATACTCCACTTTTTTGGAAATAGGCTCGTTTTACAACTCCCTCAGAGTTAAACTGTTGAGTTTTACCGTTTTCGAATCCATTCAGCCGATTTTCTGATATTTAGAAGAATATCAGTGAACAGACAGTTTCTGGTCTCACTGACTTCCATAGTATATTTTTTTCCTACTATGGTATTCAATGAGACCAGAAACTGTCTGGTTACTGATATTCTTCTAATTATCAGAAAATCGTCTGAATGGGTTCGAAAACGGTAAAACTCAACTGTTTAACTCTGGGGGAGTTGTAAAATGAGCCTATTTCCAAAAAAAGTGGAGTATCCCTTTAAGATTACGTATTCTAAAACTTAAATACTTATTTTGAACCGTATTTTTAAGGAAATATGAGTAGTGCCCTTAACATTTGTTTTACTAGTAAATAGGATACAGAAGCACGCCTGTAATTGTGACTCACCATATACAGTAACATTGAATCTGATTGCGGTCCTTCCCCCGGTGCGACTGATGGTCACATGATAAAGTCCAGAGTCTGTGGTTGTGGTGTGTGTGATGGTCAGAGATCCAGTTTGATGATCCAGCTTCAGTCTGCCTCTGAATCTCCCATCAGGAACATCATATATGGAGAAGATATTTTTATCTTTATCGATTTCAGCTATTTTAGTGTTTAAAGGTTCAAACATCCATGTTATCAGATCATGTTCCTGTAATTTAGTAACACCAGATTCTAGAGTGACTGAATCTCCCTCCATCACTGAAATGATCCTCACTGCACCATCAGCAAACACTGGAGAACACAGACAGTTTCTCAGTCACACAATGAAGTTCTCGTTACAGTAAAATAAATATCTTAACATTGGTTTAATCAAGCTTCAACTTTAAGCTTGTAGGTTTGAAATGATCCCAAACTTTAGTTTTGGCTTTGGGGTTGGTAGATGCTTTGAAATAAAAGTGAGTATTTAAGCTTTAACTCTTGCTTCAACATCAGAAGTGAAATCAAGCTTTACAAGGCAAAATACGACAGCGGTGACAGATCTGTTTTATTTTTAGACATCAGCATCTTGGACTTTAACAACATGCATTTAAAGTTTTGTGAGGCCTATGATCATCAGTCATGATCTTAAATGAACACCGTTTTTTTTGATGCCCAAAAATCGATTTACTGAAACAAAACGCAGATCTCTTTATTTTTTTATTTTTCACTATCAGGCCAACGTTTCAAAACTCTAAAATTACAACAAACTTTTCTCAAATGTATTTTATCAGCACCATCAGTGTCCATCAAAACACAATAGAATGATCTTTCAGATTATCATTTATAATGATTAGTTATTATAGTAATTAAAGAAAGACACTTGTTGACTGAATCTCTGGAACTGAATGAACAGTATTACAGTTCAGTCCCATTACAAACACACATACTGTACATTACCTGATCTAATAAATCATAGCAAGTTATCCTGCACTAAGTTTTGGAAAATAGAAAATTGCATTTTTTTTTTTTTTTTGATTTATGCCCTTTCTGCTTTGAAATTCTGATGGGACAGAATCCTGTTATTTCTATTGCAGAACTTTCAGATGGAAACAGTCTAGGGACTTTTATAACACTAAGACTTCAGATTTCATTCATTACAGTAAGATGCCAGTAGAAAACTACGCAAACACAGAGATATCTTAGTTTGATTCATGATTCTGGTACACTTGAAACTATATATATATATATATATATATATATGAAGAGTTCAGATGCAAAAGCCTCTAAGTGCCATTTGAAATTTTCTTCTAGAATGATCATTTTTATCAAGCTTGTATATTTAAGTTCAGTGATTTCACTTAAATTGCTATTATAATTACCTATTAATTGTCATTTAAGTGAAATTACTGAACTTAAATATACAAGCTTGATAAAAATTATCATTCTAGGAGAAATTTATAAATGGCACTTAGAGGCTTTTGCATCTGAACTCTTCATATATATATATATATATATATATGAAAAAATAAAAGTTTTGAACTTACCAACCAGACGCCAAAAGCACAAACAGCAGAAAACAAACGAGTGAAACATTTTCTTCCTCAGTTCAGAAAAGGGGAAATGTTTAAAGTCCTGTAGAGAGTCTACTGAGGTGAAAACTGCTTCAGTCTGTGTTAATGTGTGTGTGTGTGTGTGTGTGTGTGTGTGTGTGTGTGTGTGTGTGTGTGTTAGGGGTGGTACTTCAATTTATATTAGTTTATGACCACTCACACTATTGTTTGGACTACATTAATTTATTAATCTCATTTACTTCTAAATTTCAGCATTAACCAGAAATAGAATTATTATAATCTAATCTGCAGTTACAACAACAAATAAATAAATGTATTTCTCTGAAAATATTGTGTAAATGTGGTGGTAAAAGTATCATGACTTAAAAGTTGGACCAGTTTGACTTAAAAAACAGGATCATAAGTCTGTCCTAACAATGATTGGAGAAGTTATAGTTCAGTTTTCTATTCAAAATAAATGAAAATATTTTATATATTATTTGATTATTATTGATTATTACATTAAGCAAAATGAATGTTGAATCACTGTTACTCCATCGATGAAAACCTGATGTTATTAATGTTGATGGAACGATATTGGAACAACATTGAGTTATCTTTATGATTGATTAAGCATTGATATTTGGTTTACCGGGCGATCGTTGAATGTGTTGAAAAGTCATTGATTTATAGTTGACCGGGAAATATGATTGAAAATCAATAGATTTTTGGTTGACCGGGAGATCAACGGGTGTTTAACCAACGTACACCGGACCCACTGCTCATTTCTGGACCCTTGGCACCAGCATAAAGGTAAGCTTGCTTAATGTTTGAAATGACTGAATTGTACCAAATCAAACACTGTCAGGCTGTTCGTTAACATGATGGTTGGTGTAGCAACGCAGATGCAGTGATAAATAGATTTTTGTTGTACCACTGTGTCAAAATCTGCCAAAATTAGCTGACGGCTGTAATTTAAATGGTTCAATTATTGCAATGTAATTGAACTTTAAACACAATTACGCACTACCAAATCTTCCCCTTATCTCGTTTTCTTAAAAACACTTAATTTTAACATGTATGCTCTCTTAATGCAACCATATGCAAAGCATGCTGGGAACTAACAAGCACCACCCAGTTTCAGTTAATGCAGCACAAATCATTCATGTAATCCAACACAAACGGATTAAGTAAACTTAAATGTTTTATATATTTAAAGGGATAATCCACTTTTTTTGGAATTTCGCTTTTTTTTTTTTCACTTTTTCCATGGAAGTCAATGACCAGAAACTGTCTGGTTACTGATATTCTTCTAAATATCAGAAAATCGGCTGAATGGGTGATGGGATACTCTCTTGCCCTGTTTGTATTCATTTAAATGACAAATAAATGACAAAAAAGGCCATATCTGTATGAGAACAAGCGTTTCACTTCAAGCTGTAACCAATAAAAATGTGATTTTATTCATTGGTCATTCAATCTGAATCTGAATTGATATTTTATTCTTATCATGGCAACACTTTTATACTGTAGGCATATGAATCATATTCTCAGCTTTATATCAGGTAATATTCAGTTCAGTGATTTATTCGTGTTTACAGTTGCTGCATACATTCATGAAAGGAAATTAAAATAGCAACATACATTAAGAATTTAAAACAGTGCAATTAACAAAAAAAATAATATTAATGAATTAAAAAATTTAATTGAATTAAAGAATATTCATAGTATTAGCCTCAAAGTGAAAGAATAGTTAAGCCAAACTTATTTTTACTATCACTAAACAATTAAACCACACATATTTTCATCTTTACCATTGAAAATCCAATATATGCCACAATTTTTATGATATCTCTTCTTTTTTCTCCGTTTTAGCTCTTGTAGATCTGATGTCATTGACCAGAAGAACAACAGCAGCGGCGGCGGCCACGCCCATCAGCGCAGTGACGACCAATCGCAGCACAGGTTCAACAGAATCACAACGGGGGGCGTGGCTTTCTGGAGGAACTAATGAAACAAATGATAAATTAAATTGAGATTTTCAACAAACGTACTTTAGTCTTTCATGAATTTGAAAATAATTAAGAACAGTTTTAAAACAAAACATGAGATGACAGAAGCCCATTCATCATTTCTGACATCTTATAAATCTCGATGATATTCTCGATGAGAGTGGTGGTGTACCTGCACGTGTGTGTCTGCAGAGTGTGTTGATGTCCAGATGTGTGGTCTGGTTGCTGATGGGATTGTTCAGCACACAGCTGTAGGTGTTTTTATCCTGATATTCCACCTCCAGAGGTAGAGAGAGACTGATGCTGAGATCAGACGCACTGATGCTGGACAATACACTCATTCCTGCGTACCAGGACAGAGTCGCATCACACACACTCAACACTGATGATGAACACACCAATGAACAATTTAATGATGATGAGGAGGATGAAGAAGAGCAGTCTCTGCTGATGACAGGAACAGGCAGACGAGCTGGAAAACATGAGAGTTTTATGAAAAAATTAAAACAGAACAGATTTCACACAGAAGGAAACTTGGATGACAGTACGATAACATTAGAATGCTTTTTTGTGAAAAATGATTCACTTGTTTTTGTCCTTGACATTGACAGACCAACATGAAATTGTGTATATGCAAGTTCACATCATTAATATGCAAATGATGGAAATATTGAGAGATGCATATGCAGCTGAAAATCAATCTAATATTTCACAAACATAGTATATAAAATATGGTCCGTACCTTTCTTATAAAGTAAACGCTGCACCATATGTTTTCTATCTATTCTTAATAAATCTTAAAAAGTTATGAACTTTATATAAAACATTGTATAGGCCTAAATGAAGTAGGCTATTCTAAAACTTATGGAAATACTAATTTTAAACCAAATGAAACTATATTTTCATATATATATTTAAAAGAAATATGAGTCTGTGCAAAACTCACTCCCAGTATTATGGGATGGTTGTCAAGTAAATGGATTTAAACATTAAAAAACAAAAGTTTACAAGTACAGTAGCCTATATTTGACACACAAGTGTGTGTCCGAGACACTACAAAAATTCATTACATAGCCTACTGTAAAAGTTGCTTTGAAACAATTGTGAAAAATTCTATAAAACTAACCCAAATTTAGCCTTAACAGAGTTCGACATTTCATTATAATTAAACAAAATTTGGTATTTTGTAAAATTCATTTAGAGATATAATTATATATTAAGGACCAACACAGTCTCACGAAAGTGCGTATCTATTAGCCTAGAAATCTAGACGCACCCTAGCGGCAGCAAAAATTATTTTGCAGCAAAGTGTGGTCTAGCAACTCTCCATTGGCTTTCGATGTGGAAAAACCAAACTCTGGTCCGGCCAATTACTTTTTTTTAATTTTTTTTATTTTTTTATTTATTTTTATTTAACAGTCAGACATACATACAAACCAACATAGTGCAGTAGTGAGCAATCTAAATCCATAATTCCACAAGTGACCAGAGTGATTTAAGTGTTTGATCTAAGTGTGTATGTGAGTGGGTGTGAGTGTGGGTATGTCAACCCTGTATCACACGAAATACGTTCTGAGGAAACTATTTTGCAAATCGCAATTACGTTACATGCCAACATATAAGCAGTGCTATTACGTTGGTCCTTAACGTAATGTCTCATTGTTAATACGTAGATTTAATACGTTATTTTCAAAGATATATAACGTACGTTTTTGTACGTTTGGATAGATGCTAAAACGTATAATATGGACGTATTTGCAACATTTAAACGTAACCTTATTACGTTTTTACAGCTACAAAACGTTAACTATTTACATATGTTTCATATCATAACGATATCTGTATACTTTCACTTTTAAAGATAAATGTAACAAGACCCCTTAATCCTACTCCAAAAAACATATTTATTTTATACAGAACATAAAAAGGATAAAACGTAATGGACAGAGATGTGTAGTTAAATGAGTTTTAGCATTAAAATATATTTTGAGCCACTAATCCCACTCCTATCCCTAAACCTAACCATAACCATTCCTTAAAACTACGTAGGTAACACAATTAAGAAAAGAAAAAACATAACAGACAGATACATTTCACAATAATTTATTTATTTATTATTAACATTAGGCTACCAAAAGTCGTTCACATGATGATGCGTTGCAGTCGCAGTCCTCTGGCAGTATTATAGTAATTGTGTATGAGGTACAGATCAGAATTAAAGTTATTAACGTTAATCCAAAATGTTAATCTGATTTCGGTTCGTCCTCTGTCTGAAGGCGCACGCTCTTCTCCATTTCAAATGTGAATGTACTACACTACACCGACTGAAACACGGCATGTCGCAATCTGTGACGAAGCAGGCGAGAGCCAATGAGCGTTTGATATCACTGCCGTAAAACATGCCGTAACGCTTCTTGAAGGCGCATTATTTGAATTTGAATTAATCACCAGCGCGGATTTGACGTTTGCGGTCGCTGCTGAGAAATGAAGATGAAGATCACTGGATAAAAGGCTGGATTTGGATCTGTTTCTTGCAAACAACGTATGGATTCTAGGATTTGGTTTACATCAAGCTAATAAAATGTATGTCTTTTGTGAATGTATCAGTATGTTGTGTTTTATTGGAGAAAATGCTTTTTATTTATGAGTTACGTTGGTCTATTATATTAATAAATGCGAAGGAAAACTTAATTGATATGACAGTTGAATGCAAAAGAGTCAAAATTTTAATGCCACGATTATGCATAAATAGTAAAAAAAACCTGCTTGGATGTATTATGTTCAGGAAAAACGTAATAGCACTGCAATAGTATTACGTTAAGGACAAACGTAATAGCACTGCTTAATATGTTGGCATGTGACGTAATTACGATTTGCAAAATAGTTTCCTCAGAACGTATTTCGTGTGATACACAGTTGCAACATGTATGTATATGTGTATGTGTGTGTATGCGTAAACAAAGTAACCATTTATTATTTATTACCATTGTCATTACCATCACCACCCCACTCCCCACTACCACCATATTGCCAATATTGTGTTGATCGATTTTTATTTCCATCCTTCCTCCTATGTAGCAATTGGTCCGGCCAATCACATCGTGTATACA